TTCCTCCCCACAGAATCAATTTTGCTCATTGTTTGGGCATAATTTTCTGCTCTGGTTTTAACGTGTATGGTGGGGAGTTGCCTTCTGCCTGGCTGCCTCACTGTGCGTTGCGCCTGGTAGCAGAAATGCTAAGTCACAGCTTGAAGCAGTGATTGAGCACCTGGTGGGAAGGCAGGGCCAACCCAGGGGAGCTCAGGTGTGCGCAGTGCACCTGAGTGATGGAAGGGGTGGAGCCAGGATCCACCCCTTTTCAGACCTCATTTAAGGGCTGGCAGTGGAGGTGAGGATATCTTGCTGGAGATCCCTGTGTGCCTGAGGCCTTTTGAAGGTAAGTAACCTGGGACTTTGCTGCTAGGCTATGGTTGCTGAACTTTCCATTGCATTACAGTGTTACATGTCTTCCTTTTGTTGCTGGCTGGTTGAGAACTGAAGCCCTAGGTACAGGAAACACTCCACCAGCCCATATCCCAAAGGCTGCCCTCCCAGGGTGCAGCTTTGACCACTCTCATCACGCGCTCAGTGGGAATCTGGCATTGGTGCCTTTGGTTGCTCCAGCTACTACAAAATTAGTACAGCAAATATGAAATGTTTGTGTCAGCAGTGTTGTAGGAAATGTAGTCCTGTTGGTCTGTCAAAGGAGCCTTGATCATCAGTCGTCTTTTCGCTGTTAGCTTACTTCAGTTTTTTTTAAGTTAAATGACACCATTCTATTCCCTCAGAACTTTTAGAATGTGGATTAAACTCAATCCAACAGCACCATGGGATCCTTCATTCACAGTTAGTGTGCTGTCAGGATGCCACGTGTTCCTGGCGCTGTGGATGCTGGATTTGAAGGAGGCACATTGAGAGAGGTGCATGGACTAGCTGTGAGCCTGGATGTGCAGGCAGTGTGGTGTAAACACACAGGTGGTTTAGATGGACTCCTTTGTATACCGTTGTATACCGAGGAACAGACCTAATCTCTTCTTCATGATTTTTCCTTTAAGTCAGGAATTTGAAACCATCAACACAAAGCATGAAGAGACCATTGTGGAGGAACTAAGATTCTGGCTGAGGTGACCAGATGTGTGAAGAACTTCAGAAAGGGAGAGAATGCATCAGTTTCTCAGTGGCAGTGTTCTGAGTGTGCAGGTGGAGGCATGTGGTTGGTGACAAACATGCAGATATCCCACCCGTGTGGATGGGAAGCACACTGCAAAATATGTGCAGTGAGTAGCACAACGTTTCGGCAGTAACAGGGCAGCATCTTGCTGCGTGTTTGTGTCCTTGTGAGGTCCTAGGGGCAGCCTGTTGCATAAATTAAGCTGCCATCCTCTTACCTGTTAGAACAAGATCTGCTTGCTGCAGCTCTTCTATGGATCTTCGTCTCTAGAATTTTAAGAGCTTAATTCTCTGTGTTAATGCTGGGAAGCAGATTTCAAGATCCTTAAGAACAGTGGAAATACTGGCCCTGCAGTTGTTTCCTGGCTTACAGCTTACCTGAATGCACCTGTAGCCAAAACAGCTGACTCAAGATTCCATTTAGCTTAGTGGTAACTGTGAATGAAGGAGAAGCAGGCTGAGACTAGTGCAGGGCAGTGTTGCATCTCTGCTAGTTGCTCAAGTTGTGTTTCTGTCATGAAAGGAGTTGGGCATTTGATCTGTCTCATTTAATTTACTCCTGGTTGGAAGCAGGCTGAGAGTGGATCAAGGTGGAAACATTTGATGGAGTTGGCTCATAAGCTTTGTAGAGTGAAGAATCACTCTTCCTGTGTTTTCTACCACTGATAACCCCCCAGTGGCCCTACTCTGACACATCTGTAACGTAGAGAACAGCTTTTCTGTCTGGTATAATTCTCCTAGGCAGTATGAAGCGTGTGAGCACAGTAGATGGACAGGAGAGTGCTCCTTCACCTGGGCACATGCAAAACAGGTGTCTGAAACGATGCGTGTGCTCTGCACGTGTTCATCCCTTGCTTAGACAGCTGCATTAGAAAAATGCTGTGCAGGGCTCCTCTCTCCAGCTTGCCCCACACAGCTGCCCTGTAGCCATGTGCAGAAAGGCTCTGTCTGGGAGGTATGTGAGTGGGCAGTGTCTCCACTTCTCCTCCAGGTGGCTCATGGTTTATTTTGGGACTGTCTTGAGTGTGTCAGCTTAAGTGCAGAACACTCAGTGTTGAGGGGTAGGAGGCTGCTTGCTGTCTCTACCACTGAAGTAGTTTTGGGTGCAGTGGAACTGCCTGGTGCACAGGTTCCTTGCTTGCATCTCTCATCTGGCACATGCTTACAGAACTCAGAGGAAAGTGCTCCTGGAATGAAACGTTGCCTCTAGGAACAGTATCTTGCAGACTTCAGCCAGTGCAAGGACATCTGCTTCGTGAGCTGAAGCCTTCCTGCTCCTGTCTTGCACTTGGAGCCCCTGCTTCTGTTATTATTCTTGACTTCCATTGGGCTTAATTAAAATACAGGTCTTTAATTTTTAATTCTTTCCTGTTGATTTGGCTGTCTCTGTGTGAACACGGTCTCAGTGCAATTATTGTGCTCCCTGTGGAGGGACAAACATTTAATTCAGTGAGTCTTTCTTGGAGAGGATTTATTTTCCTGATCTTTCTACTCCAAGGGATGCAAAACCGGAGCATCCAATGAATAAAGAATTGAGCACCTCGTGTGGCTGCTCTGAGCCTGTTTGAGCTAGGATTGTTGTTAGTGAAATGTGTTCTGTGCCCACAGCTTCTGCCCAGGTGAGGAGCATGTGGTGGAGCCACGCAGCACAGCTGGCCTCAGCAGGGCACATTGGAGCCCTTGGGTCCAGCCAAGGTTTCCTCTTTAAAACTGGGTTTTATTGTCGTAGGATGCATTTAGATGTCATGTGTTAACTTGGGGAAAGGGATCAGGAGGGAGCAGCCTGTGCCTCCCTACGGTGTGTGACCAAGGGAACGTGAGTCCCTCTGCATCCCAGCTTGTGCTGAGTGGGGAGGTCTGCTATGGACCTCCAAAGTGAGGTGGAAATCTCACATTTCCTTTGCTCTTTCTGCAGCTAGTTTCAGCTGGCTTGGTGCTTTTGCTAGCTGAGCTCCCTGTGTGCAACCATAGATCAATGCTGAAATAAACACACAACAAAAGTGTTTGCCTACCCTTGCTGTCATGCGGTTCCAGACTTTTTATAGACCACTTAAAATACTTCAGGCTCTTTCAACTTCAGATCTGAGACTTCCTCAATTCCCATCGTATTTCTGTGTGATTTTCTTTATCCCCCCTGCATTCACTGAGATCGCGTATACAGGGGAAACTTCCAAATGTAACTTCGTCCTGTATTATAAGATTGTTTCAGGTCCCCCTGCATCAATCCCAGCCACAGAGCCATAGGAGGGCACATAGGGCAGGCATGGCTGCACTGCTGCTGTGGGCACACCACCTTGCTTGGAAGATGCTTCTTGTGACTGTCTGTGGCCCCTTTCTGTCACATATTCTTAATATTGCTTTGATTTGTATTTAGACTGAAGACCTGAAACTCTAAGCATGTTAAGGGTGAAAGTGTTTTGGTGAGATTTAAACTCTGCTTGTTTTATGTTTTTTTTTCTCCTGAAGGAGAGTATAAACATTTCATTGTTGTTTGTGTGAAGTGCCTTTTAGAACCAGCAGTCCAACAATGGGATAAAGAAAGCAGATGCGTCCGCGTGTCTTTTCCAACAGCTTTTGTTTTTCTGATTGCTGTAAAGAAGGCTTATAATTTTTTTTTTTCCTCTTTCTGAGCAGCAAGCAGTCTGTGGGGCTGGATCAAAGCTCATAAATGATGAATTGGAGGAATGGCAGAACGCCCTCCTTGTGCTCTGCTGGGTGTGCTGAGAACGCCATTGTTCCCTCATGTACCTTTTCCATCCTCCAGCCTGGACACACAGAGAGGGCCTTTGTTCCCTTCCTGCCAGGCGGACAATGCCAGTGCCTTGTGCTACCTCTGCTCACACCACCTGACTGCCCACAGCTCTTTGGCTTTTGGCAAGCCTGGGGCAATTGTCCTCCGGCTATGGCCTCACAAAGACAACAAATGGCATCACAGCCTCCTTCCTTCGGACCCCAGACATGAAGCAGAGCCTGCTCCTGGCCAGCATCTGCATCATGGGTGATGTCTGTCTCCAGAGCCTCCCATGCAGCTTTCTCTGGCTGCAGCTTTCCTCAGGTTTATCCCTCCCCCAAGTTTGTTTTCGAGGCACACCCCGTGTTTAAACCAGCTGTTGGTAATTCCTGTGAAACTGTGACAGTGCCAGTATCGTAGCCCCATTAGCTCAGAGCTGGGGCTGCACCTAGTCCAAATGCTCTCCCCTCCCAAGCGCTCTGTGCTGGAAGGCAGAAGTGCAAACATTGTTAACTGGAACAATGCAGCATTGCCAGGGTGAAGAATGCGAGTTAGCTGCGTATGTGTGGCATGTGCATGCCAGGGCTGCAGAGCACTATGCAAGTCCTCTCCTTTTTCTTTTGTTTCTTTTCCTTTCCCACTAGAGAGGTCTGAACCTCTTGCTTGCGCTTTTGTTTGGGGATGAGTAGGATCGGCAAGAGGAGGTGGGAGTGAGATTTTTGGGAACCCAGAACCTGAAACTGAAAGAGCCAACAGGCTAGTAAAGCTTTGCAGAGAAATTTAAAATTAGCCTGACCCACTGCTTTTACATTGCTGGAATTTAATTGCTCTGACCCTACAGCTCCTTGGTCTGACTCAGAACAAGCGTTCCCAGGCTGCGGTCTGCGAGGTCTGTGCTGGGAGGCTCTCCCATGTGGCCATGGGTCTGCACCAGGCCGTGAGACGGACCCACAGGCTGCCTCCTTCTGTTTGGGGGTGTGTGGAGAAATCCAGCCTGAAGAGCTGGGGAAGCCTCTGGTATTCCTGCTGTCTTTATGTCTGTGTCTGTGTGGCTCCTGACTGGAGTCTGTTCTGCCTCAAACAGAGATGCTGTTGTGTGGAAGCTGTTCAGAGCTTTTCCTTTTTCAGACAATGATTATAACTGTTTCTCTTCTGTTCCTGTTTGCAGGTTGTGCAGCTTGACACTAAAGAAACTGGTAGTCTTAAAGGAATTGGATAAGGAGCTTATTTCTGTGGTCATTGCTGTCAAAATGCAGGTAATTGCTGTCAGCTCTAAGAATCGAATGTGGTACTTGAGTTAACAATGCTGGCAGGTGCCTCCGTGTGAGGTCTATCATGGCTGTGGGCCACTTCCCACACTTATATCGTGATGTTCTGTGCATGTGGAGAGTCTCTTATGATCCTTCTCCTGTGTTCCTACCAAATTTCATTGTAGTAAGTGAAGAATATTGTTCACTAAGGACTCAGCCATGAGCTTTATATGTTGGTAAAGATGCTCATTTCATATCATATGCTGTCACCTGATCTTCCTGAGCAGTCACCAAATCTAAGCTTGTGTTTAGCATGCTGCAGCTCTTGCTGGGGCAGAACATCTTGGTCATTTGGACCTGGGCTGGGGAGGCTCTGAAGGCTGGGCCTTCTTCCAATGGACAGCCCTTGCTGTCAGAAGTCCAACCCATGTTTGTAGCCAGGTACTTGTCAGTTGATTTATCGGATGCCTGTACATTTCAGTTTGTTTCCATAAGATACAGCTCTCATCCTAGGTAAATAACCTACTTTGCAACATGGGTTTGTGCTGCTTAATTAGGTTTCTACATAGAGGTCATGCTGCCTGGAGGTAGGTGTTCAGCAGGTAGTGAGTAAGTTCCACAGTGTGTCACTGCGTCAGTTTAGCTCGAGTGCTCCCACCACTGGAAATGCTGAAGTGCTTACTGGTTAAAAGCCTAGTGGACCTGTAAGTAGACAAGTACCATTAACTATGCTGAAAAGCAGCTGCTTTTCAAAAAAGGGGCAGGCAAATTCCTGCAGAGATCTGTTTGTGTTAAAATCTAACTTGGAAGGTGAAATCATGAAGGCTTTGTGGACCAAGAACATGCAACTGAGCATTTAGCCAACATCTCTCATCTCTGTGAGCAGTCCAGCTGCAGAAAAATTGTGTCCTTCTGTGTTGGAGGGATTCACAGATCCACAGCAGGGAGCAGAAAGGTAGGGAATAGTTTCACACAGCTGAATTCTGAAGATGCACAGCTGTGGGTTCCCAGGCTGTCAGATATTGCTGATCAGGGCTGAAAGCTCTCCATATGTTTGTACAGGTTAGCGTGTGCATCACTGTCAGGGCCCGAGGCTTCTCAGTGAATGATCTACAGACAGGGTGTGCCAGGCTTGGGCTGCGAAATCCAGTAGCTTTTACTAGAACAAAGCTTCTTCCCATCCAGGTTACTGCTAGGAGTTTAACACGTTCTCTGGGTGAAAAGGTTGAATGTGCTGCTCTGGACATGGAAGCCCAAAAAGCCTGAAGGGAGTTTTAAAAATTGAGACTTTCTTGCTTGTTCTAAATATATGTTGTGATCTGTCCTGCTACAGTAAGTAACACAGTGAGACCTGAGCAATTATTCTGCAGTCCCTTCTGTAGTGGGACAGATTTCTGAAGAACTGGAAAGCAAAAGCACTTGCCCTCTGTAACTGGAAAAGTTTGGGATGCTTATCTGCCAAGTCCCAGGCTGCAGCTTGCATCCTTGCCCATTGTTTTTGCTTTCATCTGTCCTTTCAGTTGGCCTTGAGGTCACAGCAGCTGCAATAACTGCTGTCCCAGAGGGGTGCCCATAGCTTCACCTTGGGTGTCCCTGGCACTGCAGTTTGATCATTGCTCATATCTCGTGATGTGCTATTTAATGGTAGGGCAGTAGCACTGTGACTGTCTCAGATGCAGGCAGATTTGAAGCCTTCCTTCGTGGCTTGCAGGTTATTATGATGCTGACAAGTAAGGCTACTTAATTTGCCAGCACTCAGGTTTCTGACACAGCTATTGTTTGCAGCTGGTGATATTGGATCTTCAAGTATATGGTCTCTGTCAAATGACTCGCTGGCTGTGTATGAGAAATTGCAAGAGAGGTGTCAGCACTGCAGTCCTTCCAGAAAGAATGACTGAATTTAGACCTAATGAGAGCATCCTACCTGCATTTCCCATGTCTGTCTGCATCCCTCCTGATGTTCAAAGACTTGTCAACAGTATTTCCCAGGTTGTTGCTCTATTTATCTGCTGCAGTCTTTTTAAAGCTGCTATATTTGGGCTTTCATTAGATTTCGAGTTGCGTAACAAGTAAAGCAAGATTGCTACTGTTAGGAGATTTGCAGCGTGGAACAAATGCTGCTATTGCCAGTGGCAAGGCCAGCTGTGCTTAACTTGCACACGTGCTGCTTTTGCTGGGAGGGACCCTTCAGTTTTCAACCTGCTCTACTGTTTGATGTACTGGGGGCACCTGCAAATCACAGCATTCTGGTTTTGTGAGGAGGAAGGGATGTAACCCAGTCTCAGCCTCTCCTCTTCTTCCTCCCTCATTTTGGGATATTATTTGGGGCTGCGCAGTAGACATTTGCAGTTTTACTTTAGATGCAGCTGGGAGGTGTTTAGTCCCTGTCTGTCTCTGGTTTCCCAGATGCCGTTTTTTTTTTTTTTGAGAGCTACAGTTTTGTGCCTCTGGGAGATCAGCCTGTCTGGACAAAGCCAGAGCTGCAATCTCAGCAGAATATTGAGCCACAGACCTCTGAAACTTACCACTATCTGAACAATACAGAAGCATTTGCTAGGCAGAGGTTTATTGTGCTTTCCTGCTAGTTTTCTCTGAAATATTCCCTGAAATAGACTAAAATCTCCACTTTTCTCCAGGAGGGGTGTGTGTACAAAGAGAAAAATCAGTCCACCAAGGCTAATGTCAGAGATGTGTGTGTGACACTGCAGCCTGCGAACCCAGGAGATGCGGAGCCTGCTACCTATTGGCTGCAGTCATGAAATGAGACTTCAGCTTGAGGGGTGGGGGCTGACTCATAGCTTTTGAATGCTGGGGTTTGGCAGAACAAAAGCTGCTTTGTTGCAGTTAGGGACAGTAAATATGCCCAAATGTTTATTAGTCAAATATCTCCCTTTTCGTCTCATTAATATGTTGCACAAGTGCAAGGTCAGATCCATCCATTCACTTTCTCAGTGGTAGTCTCTGAAAGCATTTCCCAGTTTTGTTTAAATAGAGGTGGGATGCCAATCCAGGGCTACTTCCATTTCAGTCCAGTCTTCCTTCCCACCATCCTTTCCAAGGCCATAATCTTTCCAGCGCTGCCTGCAGCCCAGCTCTCTGACAGCCCCGCCTGCAGAACCTGCTGCCTTATCCCTTCCCTGGGGAGAGGCAGCACAAAGGCAGCTGTGGGTAATATCAGGGAGAGTAAGGCCTGTAGTTGGAGCTCTGCAGTTCTACGGCTGAGCCGTTTGGGCTGGATGGCAAGAAAGTGGCTGGCTGGGCAATTTACCACATGGACTTTGCTTCTGTGCAGGGCTCCAAGCGCATCCTGCGGTCTCATGAGATCGTGTTGCCGCCGAGTGGACACGTGGAGACGGAGCTTGCACTGACCTTCTCGCTGCAGGTAAGTGGGACGGGGCACCAGGACACTTGTGTGAGCAGAGGTGCTCTGTGGGTCTGCATTGAGGATCCTTCTGTATTGTGTTGGCTGCTCTCCTCGGAGCATCCTGCCCTAGTACTGCCTCTTGAGCAGGGAAATGAGGGAAATAGAGGCTGGGTTGCTGTTAGCACAAGAGAGAGTCCTGCATGCATGGAGCAGACACTCGGAAGCATTCTTGTCGAGGTTAAATGTATTTTGGAGCTGAGGGTTAGATGTTGCCATCTGGAGTTTGATCTGATAAGGACTGCAGTGGTGATGCAGGGCAGACTGGCTGTTACTCTGAGCCCTGGGTAGGCAAGGTAGGTGAGATTTCACTGCAGACAGATGATAACCCTGGGACCGCATGGGAAGGTACACAGATGGCTGGTGTTTCTGGTTCTGTCCTGATGCAGCTTGCAAACTGGGTTAACTGCAGCACTGCATACCCTTCTTTGTGAGGAGGAATGAGAAATCCACGTGCCAGGAGTAAGTATGTGTGATTCTTAAGACTGCAGCTTTCCAGCGGCTGGGAACAGAGCCTTAGGATGAGCCAGATCTCTGCCCATCCTGTGTCAGCAAATGTTTCTGCAGATTTTGTTTTGGAATGTGTTTTTTTTTTTTTTTTGTGTGTGTGTGTGTGTGTTTGTGTTTTTTTTCCCAGCAACTCAGAGCAATATTGCAGCAGGACACACAACATTGTTTTTAAGTTGGTTTCCCCAGGAGGGGCTGGGAACTGAGCCAGAACAGGGGATACTGATGTCCGTGACGCTGTAAGCCTTCAGAACAGTGTTTGTGAGATGAGCAAGCTTAGTGCAGAGATGTGCTGCTGATCTCTCTGCTGCAGGAAGGATTAGTGCTCTTGGATGCAGTGAGGTCTGGGAAGCCTTCCTGAAATGGCACAGCAGGATTTTTATGACAGCTTTTATTATTTCTTAATTGGACGATGGCTGGAAGCTACTCTTAGCTAAGTATAGTCTGAGCCAGGTACAGTCTGAATTTAGTGCCTGGGATATTTTAAGAGTGGTGATGGACTACAGAGTAAAAGCATTTGGATGTCTCAGCATGAGAAAGCCTCAGTGTCTTGCAGTAGCAGCCAGTATCTCCATATTGTGCTGTCACTCTTTGCCCTGTGTGCTTCGCTCTGCATGCATGCACACTGTGCAGGCTGTCCATGTGGGCAATGCTCTGTTATGCAGGTGGGGTAAGACTAGAGCTATGGTGCATCTGAATCTGATTCACCTAGCTAGCTAGGCTGAGACCAGCAGAAGCCTTTCTGGCAGGTAAGCTCCTGTCATCCTGACTGCTGGATTGGCTGCTCTTCCTGACCCTCTGCAAGTTTCTCAGGATCAATTGAAGTTCCCTGGTGTGTATGGCGGTCCCCTCTTCTTGTCCTTGGAGGTGCTTGCAGTGCTTGGGGCTTCCTGTGTCTTGTTTTCAAATACTGGGTTATGGAGTGGCAGTTACTAACAAGTTTTTGTTGAAACCATTCTGTACATCTGACAAGTGATGGCAGGAATTAAAAATAGCTGTGCAGTGAAAGTGGCTGGGGTGTTCCAGAGGATGTTGCCTTTAACTGAGTGGCATGAATGTCTCTGGATCTTTATTTTATTTTTATTTTTTAATATTTCTATGAATCTTCATCAGAGTTGGCCAGGAAACACACCTTTGAAAAACAGAAATTTGCATGTGTGGACTTGATTCATCTAGTTGAATTCCAGAAAACTGTAGACATGGAGATCAAACTGGCCTGGGACCCAGAATGACTTTAGAATTCAGTTTGTGGGGTTCATGCTTAAGCAGCCTCAGAGGACCCCAATGCCTCCAGCTGAGAGCAAGGAATCCCTCTTCCCTACTGCCTTCCCAACACTTGATAGGGTCTCAGCTGCAGGAGGATGGGAAGTTTGAATGCACAAGGTGCCTCTTGCCTTCTGAATCCCAGCTGGCAGCTCCAGTCCTCAGTAACTTCAGTGTTGCGGATCTGTGAAGTTGCGCTCAATTTGTGTTTGGATGCAAATGTGTTTTAAGGTGATCTTTTAATTACGTGGACTGCTGTTCCTCCCTTCCACAGGGCTGCTGCCTCATGCAAGGCAGTCGATCCCATCCTTGCAGAGCAATCAGTTAATTGGTATTCTGCTTGTTTGCATGGCCACTGCTCCTGGCTCTCTGCGCAGCAGTCAGGCCTGCTCTGGACTGCAAATTAACATCTCCAGGTTTCTGGTGGCACTCAGCAGTTGTATTTATCAAGTTTTTTAAGAGGCAGGAAGTTACTCTCACAATTTCCCAAAGTGGGGAGAGGAGCTTAAAAAAAAAAAAAAAAAAAAAAGGCAAGATGAAGCATCCTTCACTTAAGAATATCCAGTATGCAATTAGGGTCTCTGCAGTGAGGTTCTCCTTTCTGCAGCCCATCTCTTTGATGGTGCTCATCTCTTTGGGACTGGACTTGGGCTCAGCCCTTCCAAACAGCCAGGATTGTTTTGTCAGTGCCTGGTGGGGACCACAGTGCCTCACGCTCTGTGGTCGCTCACAGGCCTGAGCTGCCTCCTGTCCTGGGACTATAAAGGCAAGGGTATGGGGTTACCTGGGCTCCCCCCATGCCCACTAATCCCCTTGTGTGGCACTTGGGTTCTGTGGCAGAGCTTTACAAAGGCTGTGTTTTTAAAATGAGAGTCAGAAATGATTGCTTCCTTGATAATGAATGTAGGGTTGCATGTTAAGGGTTAGTTCAGTGTAGGAATGGAGCTTACCTGTGAACCAGACATCTTGGGAGATAACATCAAGGCACATAATGAACTTTTGCTTTCTGTTTTCAACCCCAGTACCCTCACTTCTTGAAGAGAGAAGGCAACAAGCTTCAGATCATGCTGCAGCGGCGGAAGCGATACAAGAACCGAACCATTCTAGGCTACAAGACTCTGGCTGTGGGGTCTATCAACATGGCTGAGGTGAGCACTGTTTGGCATGGTCCATACTTACAAGAGCAGGATTCCCCATCAGTTTAAATCCAGTGTTATTACTTTCCGTATTGAGAAGTACCTGGATGGATTTCATGCAACTATCTTAATGCTGATTAGTATGCACAGAACAATATTTTAAACAGATCTTGGTACTGAGTACTAATATTGCACATTTTCTGGATAGCATATTGCAGGCTAAAGGATTCTTGAGGCTTATTAGCTTGCAAGGTTTGTGGAGTATATCTTGTTTGTTTTTGTTTTGAGCTAGGAGGTCCACATCAACTCACCCAAATGCAGCTCAAATCCCCTTTGCATTCAGAACACTTCTGCATGTATTTCAATACTAATGCATTTTCTTTTGTATTACTACGTTTGGTTGAGCTGAGCTAACACATTTGTCTTAAATGTTTCATATTTGTGGAAACAAGGCTGTTAAGGCCACTTGGACAGGCCTTCCAGGTTCAGTGCAGCAGCAACGTGTTTCATCAGACTGCAGTCTGCCAATAAATACTTTCATTGTTTCCACCTGTAAATTAATGTTATGCTGTGGTGAGTTATTACAGTGTTAAATAATTTATTATAAAGAATGCTTCTGTTGTGTAAGTTCAGCTTCTTTAGACTTGCATTAAATGTAGACCTCCCCATCTGAACTGTCCAAATTCTGATTTATAGTCCGATAGGCAACATTTTTCCTGTACCACATTTAGTTTAAGAGCTAGAAATTGACTGTTGCTGTAAGGCAGAAAACGTGTGGGCCCATTAATTAGATCCATTGGTGAACTTCGGAGTGTTGGGCATTTGCTGCTGTGTGTGGTTTTTCTTACGTCTTTTTTTGTAATGTCAGCTGACTGAGGTTAGAAGGTCATGCATTTCCAAAGGTTTGCTTTGCTGGGAAACAGTTACTTTCCAGCTCATCTGGAATATTTCTGAAATTGAAGATTTTGGGTAAACAAATGCTGTATCCTTTTAGAAGCCTCCCTCTCTTTGCAGTTTATAGTTAAATGACCCCTGCCCAGCACTGACACATGCAAAGTTATTATAGGAGTTGAAAGAAAACAAAGCGATGAAAAGTTGGTGAAAACATGAACCTGAGAGGGTGTGTGTTCCTCATCAGCTCAGGTCATTTTAAAGCCTGGTGTGCAGTAGGAAGCTGAAGTGCAGACAAGTGGGGATGGGGAAGCAACTGCTGTGTCTGGTGGGACGAGAGAAGAACCTGAATCTTAGGTTCTAAGAAGAGCTCTGAGAGCTGTGGGCGTCAAAGGGAAGATGGCTGCAGTGAGAAACCCATACTGAGATGTGTCTGCATCCACCATGTCTTGCATTTTGTGAGTCACCACTTAATTAGCCCAGTATGGCCATCTCCTCCAAGATTGTGGAGCAGGAATTTTTGCTTTAGGAAGCACTTTGCTGCGTATCTCACTGATAATTTTGGTGGGGTTTTTTTTTTGGCTTTGAAGTTCCTCAACTTTGAAGGTTCTGAAGGTTGATAACTTGATGATTCAAATCAGTATTATTCTGTGGAAGCAAATACATAGTAATGACGTATGCAAGTTTTGTGTTTCATGGGTGAGCTAATCAACTGTTAAGCTCAGGAAATTTTTCCTTTCCTTCCATCACTTGCATTAGCAGCCAACTAAAATTTCAGCTAGCATTGTGTGTTGCCTGCATGTGGCACCTGCAGTTGCAGGGTGTTGTCTGTCTTCTCTATTTGACAATTTGGAATAACTCTGTTAACATAAATAACTCTTGTAGAATACAGACGGTGCAAGTTTAAATACATTTAAATGCATATTTGTTGTGCGTGATTTCTGTCCCAGGTCATGCAGCACCCCACAGAAGGTGGCCAGGTACTGAGCCTTTTCAGCAACATCAAAGAAGCTGCAGTAAAGGTAGCAGAAATCTGGATCTTCTCCTTGTCAAGTCAACCAATTGACCATGAAGACAGCAGTATGCAGGCCAGCCAGAAAATCAAGTCTACAGGTGAAGTACAACTGCATGCTCTGGGGACTAATGCCATCCTGAACTAACTGGAGTTAAATTCCACCTGAGCTTAGATGCTTCCTGGGAAGAATGAGGCTTGTACTATGCCTCTATCTTTAGCTGGTTATCGCAGAGAAAACCAACTTGCAGCAACCTGTTGCTGTGTAAGCAAGGAGCGTGGCTGCCAGTGTTAGGGGTTGTCAGAGGTTCACACAAGGCTTAAATCATGCAGCAAGTGAGGTCTGTGCTCTTCCAGCGTTACTGGTGGTGGGTGTGTTGAGAACCTGTAGCTCCTCATATGGATAACAGTGTCATATTCAGGACATGCACATTTAAGTTGCTATCCTAACTCTTTTTCCTTCCTTGTTCTACAATATATGTTAACTTACATATACTTACTACAGAGCTGTCATATTTTTAAATGGAATATGATCTGGTTTAATGAAAGTAAATCCCAGTGTTGCTCAGGATGTAGGAAAGTACTTGCGTTTCTGTTTGTGACAGTCTTCCACCTTCTCTGTAGCAGCAGCCTTCTGCTCACTGCCAGCAGAGTGACCTGTTGAAGGCAGTGCATTCAGGTACATGTGTGCTGCTGCCTGAGGCCAGGCAGGTCATCTCAAGTGTCACGTCAATAGAATTTAGACTCTCCTGGCGTGTCTTCTGAAGATAGTTAGGCTCTCTAAGGGGGAAAAATTCCTTCCCTTGTAGGAAAAGCTACTTTCTTGCTGTTGTCTGCCAGGTGATTCTTTCCAGAAAAAAGAGGGTGGTATTCTAAGGAGTCTTATCTGTGTGGTGGTCTATCCTTCTTACTAGATGTGTTTCTCCTTGTTCCTCATCTCCAGGATGTTCCCATCTCATTGGTTCTAACACAGATAAAAGATAAAGAAGCAAGCATTTCCTTATGTACCTCCTTTCTTGGTTTGTGACTCTTAGTTGGTTTTCTCTGTTCTTCAGATGAGATTTTCTCTTCGCATTAAAAGAGTTTCATGGGATCTCTCCCTTCTTTCCTTTCAGATAACTATTCTGAGGAGGAGTACGAGAGCTTCTCTTCTGAGCAGGAGGCCAGTGACGATGCCGTGCAGGGCCAGGTACTGTTTAGGGCACGGCTTCTTCCTGTGAGAGCTTCTGTAGAGCATGTATTCTCAGCTTCTGCTTGAAATGATAAGTCTGTTTCCTTAGGTAAGCTGTGACAGTGTGAGACTGTCACCAAATGTTGAGCTGCAGTGGCAGGAGGAGAATGGAGATGCACAGCAACCCATTTCTTTCACCGTGCTGTGATTTATCCCCTTATGTGTTGTCTTGAGTCCCCTTTAAACACTAAAATATTGAGTTTGTCTGCTCAATTGTGCTAACGCAGCAGTTGATTATTTCTGTAATGCTGATTGGGTTCAAAGAGCCTGGCAAGGCCCCTAGCTATAACTTAAGGGCTGATGGAATGTGAGTCAGATTTTAGCCTTTAGTATCTCTTGCAAAATGGATCCTGACAGGGAACTCCCTGTGCAGGAGTGAGGTGCTTCTGAGTTTGGATCTTACTTGCCTTCGGACTCTGGCATCACTTGCCTTCTGTGTCTTGGAGGGTACTAAGAGGCACCCACTGAGATGTGGGGCTGAGAGAATCCTTTTCTTTCTAGAATTTGGGCTGTTTTGCTCCTCTGAGCTGGTGTTCCCAGCTCTCTGCTGATATAGTTCAATTCCATTTCCCTCTGCCATCGTAACTGCTGAAAAATGAAGCAAATGCTGACGGTCTGCAAGACAGAGCAGCAGGCTAATAGAGGGAACGTTGTTAGGACTTAAATGATTGTGTGTCCCCAAACCACAAAGGTAACAAAGGAATCCTCTTTCTGTTCAGGATTTGGATGATGATGAGTACGAGCTGGGGAAGCCCAAGAAGCAGCGGAGATCGATAGTAAGAACGACGTCCATAACCAGGGTCGGTGGAAATTAGTTTTACTAACACTGATGGGGTTTGGCTAGGATGTGCAGTGCATGTGGCCTGTGGGAGCAGCAGTGCTGGAAATGCTGGCAGGGAGCCTGGGGGCATGGTCACAGCATGTGAAGAGCCAGCAGAAACTATAATATCAGGGAGCGGAGCAGTCCGTGATGTGTGTGTATCTTGAGTGTTCTTTAGCTGCAAGGTTAGGGTGCTCCAAAAATCATACAAGTATGTGAAAATCAGCCCCATAACAAAGCCAGGGCAAGATCTGTGCTCACATGATCCTGAAAGTTGGCTTAAGCAAAGGAAAGATCTTCTGTTTGTGCTCTGCACTGGGAGAGACCCATGGGAAAGTTTCAGAAGGAAGTTCGGTTAGGGTCTGGAGCCAAACAGATGAACCTGAGGTGATGCATGTTGAGGCCAAAGGAGTAGCTGGATATTGAAGGCTTTGGTGAGTAGCATGCAGCCAGCCATCTGCTCTCTGACAGCAAGCATGTGTTTGCCTGCAAAACTGAACTCCCGTGTGGAGCATTGACCTGCGCTTGGCTGCACCGTAATGTACAACGTGGCCTGCTGCTTACACCAGCGTTTGTGCATGTCTGTGATGTGATTTGGAGTTATTGCCAAGGATGGGGCTAGGTTTGTTGTTTGTTGGGGTTTTTTTGGACTTTGAAATACGTTTGGAGATCATTTATACCTTCTGCAAGGCTGCTTCTCAAATCCATGTTTGAAAAGGTCTTGAATAAACAGTGTTTTGATCTGAACCTGTGATTAAAAAGACTATATAAGACTAGGAGCGTACTACCTCACATCCTTGATGTCTTAATATAGTTTACAGGCATTAGTGCAGCAGGTGACCCCATGGTTATTAACTTAATGATGAGAATGTCTTTCTGTCCCTGACCACTGAACTGATGCTGAGTCTCCAGTGCATAGGGCTGGTGCAGGTCTGGATTAGGTGCTGCTGATAAATTTAACATCAGCCTCAGCAGAGCTCCTGTGTTCTGACTGTCAGACCATTCAGGCCAGAGAACAGCTCTTGCCATGTTGCCTTAGCTACTGCCTGTTGTGTGTGCTCCTTCTGCAGAGTGCCATGCTGGCCCAAGCTGATCTGTATGATGGATATTTTTCCTTGACATCCTGAGTCAAAGGACAACTCTAAAAAGAGAGCATCTCATTCCCATCAGTGAATGGGGGCCATTCGTTGAACGGTCTTGTTGGAACCTTTCATTTCACCTCAACTTCAGCTGTCTAGAAGGTGGCAGCAGCTTACAGTTGAGTTCAGTGGTAAAAGGTGAATTTTGGAGACTTGGGCATTGTGAAGTGCCTGGGGCTGGAGTGGTGGGTCCAGCAGGGTTTACTAGGAAAGCTCCCAAGAGATACAGGCAAGCCAGCAAAAAACTTTCTTCACGCGGGCGTTTCCTAAGAAACCAGAAGGTTTCTTAGGTTTAGCATAGTGGGAACTAGTTTGTTGTAAGGCAGTAAGAAAGTCTCATAGGTCTGGAAAAGCTGTTTTCAATGTGTGAACAGCCAGGACTTGGTTCGTGGTGCCAGCAGTCTTTTGGACTTGAAGCAGCAGCTAGAGCACCAGTGTCATGTGTCTGGACCTCTTACGCACTGGGAGAAAGCAGTTCAGTGATGCTTTACTCATGTAAAAATGTCTTTGACTTGCAGCAACAGAACTTCAAGCAGAAGGTTGTGGCATTGCTGAAGAGATTTAAAGTGTCTGATGAGGTGAGTAATGTGTTCTAGAACCTTTCTGTCTGCATACTGCTGTCTCACCTCTTCAGTGTGGTCCCTGCTGTAGTCCCCAGGAACGTTCTCCTGTTTCTCCCTGGTTCCATTCGTTTTGCAGTTGATATAACCTGTCATGTTACCCTGGCCTTGCATGGAGGCTTGAGGGCCAACTTTAAAATGTCATCAAATGTTTTCTAGATCAAATTTTATCAAATCTAGATTTTGGCAAACACTCATTTATTTACCCATTAATTTCAAAGCAGTCTTCAAAACTGTCTTTGACCAATTCAAAGGCAAGCAGCGTGCTGCTTGTGTTGCTTGTGAAGTTAAATCACCACTGCTTTGATAATCTTACTAGAACAGCTAGGTAAGACTTGAAAAATTTCGATATGTAGATGCACAAGAAATACAGTTTTCTGGTCAGAGCTTAAAACGAAAGAGGTCCTGAACCCAAGAGCCTGCATAACATTAAGTACCTAATATAAAAACTGTTAACAACTCTTTTGACTGTCTGCGTGCAGATATTGTGGCCTGTGGGAAAGAGTAACTCCTCATGCTTTCTTATGCTTCCAAACAGACCTGTTAGCATTGCTATTCTTCCCAAGTTAGCTCAGCAGCATCAGCATCCTTATCTGAGGTCTCAGCCAGCTAAGCTATTGTTTTTCTGGAGCTCTTATTGAAAAGCAAACTCAGAGCTGTGTGCACCTGTATGCTTAAGCTGTATGTGTAGAGAAACCTAGGGGAGTTTTGATGTGAGATTCGTGTTCTCTTCGGATTTACATGTGGGTTGCAGTTGATCCTTGTCCAGGTTTCTGATGCCTCCTGTGGATGTTGCTCTTCTTTTCTGCCTGGTTGGGTACCACATACAAAATCAGGAGGTGTAATGACAACTTTTCAGGAATACCCAAGATGCAGTACTCATTTTGTAGTACCACATATTTGTACTTTCTCTAAGAAAACTGGGACTGTGTAGGGTGCCTTCTTAAGGCTTTGTTTATAGAGCATGATTGACATGATATATGGTTAATAGCTTGTCCACAGATACCTAACCTAATAGGTAAGTGTTGCTTAATCAGACACTGACAGCTTTGCCCCCAACAAGCACTCCTGGTATGCTTAATGTTTCTGCTAGATATAGTATCCTCGCACTAGAAACAGAATCTAAGCCTGGTGCCCTGCAGTAATGAAGGGATCTCCTGTGACATGGGATCTGTTTGACTCCTAGTGAACAATGCCTGCTTTTCTCCTGTAGGTTCTGGATTCAGAGCAGGACCCTGCAGAGCACGTTCCAGAGGTGGAGGAGGACTTGGACCTTCTCTATGACACACTGGATATAGAGAACCCCAGTGACAGTGGGCCAGAAATGGAAGATGATGACAGTGTTTTGAGCACTCCAAAGCCAAAGTTAAAGTAAGTATGGCACAGCTGATGCTGGGCAGTCCCCTGCAGTGTAGTCAGTTTGGGCAGCTGCCTGGGACTCAGTCTCCCAAGAGCTGGAACTGAAAGGAGACAGTGTGCAGTATGAACACAGATTGGATGCTCTATTTGCACTTATTACCACAACTCTCCCCAACCTGGTGTCAGAGCTCCAGTGTACATTATGATAATTTAATGACTGCTTGTACACTAATTTCCCTTCATGTTGGTTTTTTTTTTTTTTTTACTAGTTCCCCTGCAGTTATTCTGCTTGCCATTCCACCTGACCACAGGAGTAGGAATTGCTGACAGGAAGACAGTGGAACTAAATTGTACACAAGTGTTTTGAAGAGGTGGTAGAAACAGACAGGAAATCTGGTGCTGCGGCAGAACAGTTAGAAGATGCAGAGGCAGAAAGTTGTGATGGGCAAGGCAATCTTTCTGATAGGATCCTATGTGGAAAGAGCCTTCGTAGGGACTAAAGAATCAGAACTGCAGGGAACAAAGGAGTTCTTCAGAGCCCAAGGGGAACTGACCATAGCACAGGTGGATACACCCAAGCCTGTTCTGAACTAGCTTTTGTAGGTGCTGATATATGGCAGCTTTGTGTAACTGAGCCAGGGATCACTTCTAGTTGATCTTGGGGAGGCACTTTGTCTTCTCTGTCTGGTTCTTGTGTTCATATTGTGAAATTAATGTGATGAATGCTGATGGCTGTAGGCATCTTTTTTTTTTCCTGGGGAAAAAAAAAAAAATCAATTCCTTAAATCATAATTGAGCCTTGAAGCCTTCTGTGATGATCTGCCTTTTGACATGGAAGCACAAATCTGATTGTATGTGCTATCTTATCTTATTGAGCAAATGTGTAATTGGATCCTAAGGCTGGCAGCCAAATGCAGATGCAAGCTGGAAATAAAATGCATGTTAGCATCAAGAGTCACTTGCTCATATGAGCAGAGTATGGGTGGGGTGGCAGTAATTCTCCTTCACTTGCTGTCTTTCCATCAAGAGCAAAACCTTGCCTGGAATGGCATGTGGTTCAGTCAGCATTTGCAGAGCTGAAACAAAATTCACAGTGTGAAACTTTTTGCACCTGGTGCTTGGGGTAGGAAAGACTCAAATGCCTCTGTGAAGTTAATGTGCATTCTGTCCTGCAGTGTGAAAATGCTGGACCGTGGGCCCATCCCAGATTTTATGGAAATAAAAACTTCTGTTTGGCATGTAGCGTGAGAGCATGCAAGCATTCCTTGTGAGAGCTTCATGAATATGATTTAATGTGAGACAGCTGATGTGTTGGAGCCATTAAATGGAGGTCAGTCAGTCAGTGTCAGGGCTAGACAGATGTCCTTAGGCTTTCTTGTTTCCTTTGCTGTCCTGGAGACTTCTTCCCCTTCCTTTCTTTCACTCAGAGGAACAAAAGTAGCTTCTGAATTTTACTGGAACTGCTGAGGAGTGTTAGGACACCTTGGAACAATCGCATTTCTTTTGCTGTGGACTTCCTCTGCTAATGTTATTAATAACAGGAAGGTGTTTTTGCTTTCCTTCTTCAGACCTTATTTTGAAGGACTGTCACACTCCAGCTCTCAGACAGAAATCGGTAGCATCCACAGCATCAGGAGCCAGAGAGAGCCATCAAGTCCTGTAAGTCGTTTCAAGAAGGTTATCTGCCTGTAGTTAATATAGCAGCTCAAGGTCTATCCACCTACATTCCTTTTGAAATTAAAGTGCTCTGACTGTCTGGTATCATCCTGCCGTGCTCAGCCTTGTCACCTGCACCATCTCTGTTTACATGTGTAAATAGACACCCTCTGTGACCTCCTCTGAAGACTCAGATGCAGAGACACGAATATTCTGAAGAAAGTGTGGTTTGGTCTATTTATTTTTAATGCAAATAAAGTATTAACTCAAGTGAACATCTTCAGTTTATGTATTGAATAACTGCCAGTGGTATGAGTATCTCAAGATTCCCATGTGTTTGCCATAGCCGGGGTGGGAGATGTTGCCTGGGAGCTTTAGGGACTTCCTGGCAGTGCTCAGGGAAGCCTCTACCACATTGCATTGTGTTCCTTTTCATGGTGGCTGGGAGAGAATTCTGAAGGGGGGAGCTCACTCTTTTCCATCTCTATTTAGATGAGCATTCTAGGCACAGAGAATATCAGCCCAATTCTGGAGGACTTCTCTTTATAGTCTGTATGGTGCAGTACATCTCTTAATGTAGAGTTATAGATCTGTTTGAGGGTTTTAGGTGCTGAGTTTCTAAGACTGAATGAAAGGAAGGTGCCGAAGCACCTCACAGCACTAATCAGCAGCATCCCTCCCAAGCAGGAAGTAGGACCATGCACAGGATCTGGACATTACTTCTCTGTGCCCAGAAGCACTGGAATAGAGGCTCCTTGTACAGGCCTTTCTCTGAGCGCCCTCCCTCGGTCTTCCAAACACACATTTCTTATTTGTGACCATTACCCATTGCATCCCTTGTCTGATCTGCCTCTGTGTTGTCATCAACAATGTGCCAGGTCCTGGCAGCACTGGGAGGCTGTTACAACACCAGGGTTGTTTCTGTGAAGCAGCTGCAGGGCAGTCTGTTCTGGGCGATGCTTAACTGTTTAGTACCACAACTGTAGAACCTGGGGGGGAGGACTTGCAGGGCCTGCATCTTTTGGATTGGTAACAGATCTTCTCATGAGCCTTCATTACCCAATTTTTAAATGTGACTTGCATTAAATACGCTTGCAAGGTTTTTCTGCTGCCTTGCTACTTCCCATACCAATGCATTCAGTTCTGGTAGGAGCCTAAGCGCTCCTGCAGAGCTGTTCAGTGTTTAAACTGTCTTTCAAACAATCTGATCCAGAGAGTGTGGCTGAAAAGTTGTGCTGCTGCTGTACCTGCTAACGGTTTTCTCCTCTCAAGCAGGTAGAAGTGCCTGAAAAGACAAAGAGTCTTGGAACCAAACACACAGACGACAGTATTTCTGACACTGTCTCTTTTGTAAGTTGGAAACTCGCTTCTTAACTTTGTCTGGCAGTTTGAGTGTCAACTGTGAACTGCATTCTGTAGCGCATGTCTGTCTATTCTTATAGTTGCATATGCATCACAACCTGTGTAGATTACATTAGCTGCAGTGATGATAGTGCTGGGCTCTCCTCCTGACCTCAGTTGTCAGAGGTTCTCATCTTTCAGCCTTCTGAAATTAAAATGCTCTACATGGCCTTCCATTTAAACAGTCTCTCTTTTGATTTGAAGAAAGCTGAAGTATGCTACTGAGCGTGTCTTGGTGTGAAAAGTGTCCTCAAAGCTGGTGCTTTATACCAGACAGACACCTTCAATTTGAATTGGCAGAAATCAAGCTGATCCTGGGGAAAAATCCCAAAGCTCGAGTTGCTCTTCTCAAGATATGCTATTTGTAATTTTTCTCTTATGTGTTTCTCTCTCCACTGGTTCTTTTGGGTAAACTGAATTAATCAGTGTTGCGTAAGGAAGCTTGTCCTTGGCTTTGAATTGAGAGAGTGCCTGCTCTAAAGTAGTTATTTTCAAGCACCTTTTCAGCCTCCAGTTCCCTTGTGAGGCAGAGCTAGGAACAGGGAGCCTAAGATAGCCAGTGTTGGCTTGTCCCCTTGGCAGTGAGCAGTGTGTCTGCAAGGAAGAGGCTGAACGTGGCTCAGCCAGAGCCAAGCTGGCGCGTCTCCTGCAACCCTTGCAGTAGTGAGAGAGGGAAGTGTTTGTTCCTCACGTGGTTCCGTGTGTGTTTGCAGGAGTCTAACCAGCAAGCTGAGGTCCAAGAAGCAGAACTTCCCGCACCAGATGTGTTTGTTGAGAAGCTCCCACCCAGCGGGAAGATCACCAAGACGGAGTCCCTCATTATCCCATCCACCAGGTAGAGCAGTGACACAGCACTGCAGCTGCTGCAAGGCTCCTTGGGAAGCTGTGGACAGCCTGCTATCGTTTGTTCAGTATGATCTGTAGGTCCAGCAGGGAGGCCGGCCTTGTGTTCAGGTGCTTGAGAGAGGAGGAGTGTGGGTGCTTCATAAATGCATTCAAAGAGCCACAGAGCAATCTTACTCTGATTGCTCAGGGATCATAGAATCATTAAGGTTGGAAAAGACCCTTTGAGATCACCTAGTCCAACTGTTTACTCTGAGGCTTCATGCTCAAAGATAAGTTGTGTGATGCAGATTTTGGCTTTAAAGGTAGTTGCTAAGTCTGAGTTCCCAAATGGCAGAGTGAATGTGGGCTTCGACAACCCAACCATATGGTTTCTTCGGTTACTTCAAGCAAATAGATGCTCTTTTGAAGAGGTATTTTTGTGCTCTAGGGTGTGTGTCTGCAGTTGGTGTAGCTAGGTTGCATTATGCTGGTATGGCAATTAGCAGAGTGGTGGTGTGGCTCTTGGTATGGGCTGTGAAAGTTTGCTTGGGACTCCTGGAAACATGATGACTTAGAGTACTCTGCAGCTGAATTTTCTTCTCTATAACTTCTGGACTGTTAGATGCAGAATGAACAGGTCTCATGCTGCCTCAGATTTCCATGCATGATTCTCTAGTCCCTGGAGTTAAATTGCTGAGGTTGCCAGATGGGGGTGATTTAGGAGTTTGAGGATGAATCTTCCTCAGATGTGAGCCAAGCATGGACTGAAAGCACCTTTTTCTAGCAGGTCTGAAGGGAAGCAAACTGGACGTCGGGGAAGAAGCACATCTCTGAAAGAGAGGCAGCCAGTGAGGCCACAGAATGAAAGAGCAAACAGCCTGGACAATGAACGATCTCCAGACACCCGGCACCACTTACAGGTGTGAAAAATATTGCTTTTTATCCAACCACTCAGTTCTTGTCTTTTCCATCTGTCTCCTGCGGTCCATTTCCTTCTGGCCAAAGTGCCGTCCCTGCTGGAAAGTAGCTGAACCCTGCAGCTCCAGGAAGGAGGGAATTTACTTCTTGGCTGATATTGTACCTTCCATCCTGTCTGCTGGTTTTTGCCAGCTTGTTGCTTTGTCAGCCAGCCATAAACTGAAAACACTGGAATGGATTGTTGTCACGAGTAACAAATAGGGATGTATTGAGGAATTACTCTTTTGAAATAAGGCAAATTGTAAGGATTTGCAGTGGAGACTGATTTATGCAAAGCATCTCTGTGCCATGCCATGCTCTTTTCAACTGCAGGACTCCTTTAACTTCCTCCTTGATAAAGAATTTTGCTGGCTTTTGTATATCCAGAATTCCTTAAGCTACTTTGAGTTGGTATAAAGTGACTTCAAGAAAAGTGCACTGCAGAAGGAGCAGTGACAGACAAAGCTTTGAGGATTAGAACTGATATCTCCTACTGTTCTGTTCTGTGTCTTCATTTCCAGATCCCCAGGAAAACTGTGTATGACCAACTAAATCACATCCTGGTTTCTGACGACCAGCTGCCAGAAAACATTATTCTTGTCAATACTTCAGATTGGCAAGGACAGGTAAAAGCAGGAGATGTGCTGTCAGTTCACTTTGGCTGTTTCTCACTGGGAATGGACCGGTCTTGAGCTTTACCACTGACCAAGTAGGCTCTGCTCCCTGGTTGGAAGGGCAGTGGTGGTGCAGGAGGTTGCAGCATGCTTGGGTTTGGTGCCTATAGATCATTTTGACCAGGGGATGCTATGGATCATTTAGGGTTTTGCTACTCAGTTTTTCCCTGGAAAAACTGTTTTCTTCTGTTCTATGAAACCATTTCTTTGGGTTAGCAGCACGCTGGGTATGGCTTCACTGTTGCACTCAAGCATTTGCTTCTCAGCCAATTCTCAGGGTGGGACAAAGGAAATAGAGAAGGCTGACTTGTGGTTTAGACTGATATTCCTGGGCTCAGGTGATGACCGCAGGAGAAAATAGCTCAGCAGTATTGTCTTGCATGCATTCTTGTGATTCCTGGCTGGGGGTGTTTTATCACATCTTTTCTTAGTGTGTGATACTTATGTGAAGGAGAACTGAGCTCTACACTCTTATGGTGGCAATGTGGAGTCATTTGCAGTGGATTTGGATGGGTGGTTGGAGCAAATTTTGCTCTTTTCTGATCCTTAGTCTGAGTCATGAATAAAATGTATACAGAAGAGACACTGTACTGATTGACTGTGGGCTTATACCAGGTTTTTGGAAGTATGTTGACACATTCTCCTTTTGAAAGGACTGGGGTCTCAGTGTGTAAGAGATGAAAATTACCAGTTGAGCTGCTGGTTCCAGCTGCTCTTACTTGGAGAAATGTTTTCCAGAGTTGGATAGAAAGCTGTGTATGTCCCTCCAGCACTGCCTGCAGTATTGGATGAGACAAAGATGGCATTGGCTGTGGTGCATGGGTTAGTGGGGCAGTGAGATAATTGCTGAGTATCTTCAGTGTTATGTCCATGTGAACTTGGTGTTTGTTAACTTGTATTTCCTCTGAGCTGCATGGGATGGGAGCAGTCAGTCACAATGAATGTACTGTTAGTGTCTTTGCTTTTTTTTGTTTTAGTACTTGAGGCTAGGCAGAATATTGCATTTGTCATTTTAAATCAGGATGCTGCATGTTCAGCTTCACAAACAGGTGAGTAAAGAACATCTGCTCTTACCCAGTGCTGGTTAGGCAGACAGCCTGTTGCTCCTGCCCTGCTCTCTGCAGCCATACGAATTGCTCTCCTAGGGTCAGCATTACCAAAAATGCCCTGTCCTGGAGGAAGTGTTAGTGTTTGTCAAGCAGGTGCAGTGGCTCCACTTTTCTAGAAGACAAGCTTTTCTTTCACTAATGCACAGGAGAAAAGTGTTTGGGAAGCAACTGTCACCTACATGTTGGTCATGGGGAGAATGCCCACACTTTGTTGTAAGGATTCATAGGAGTGTGGGGGAGATGAGACTTTCTTCTTGTGACAAACTGAAGGACTTTAATATGTTCTGTTCTCTCCTTAGTACCTGTCAGATGTCTTACAAAAGCATACCTTGCCAGTGGTCTGTACATGTTCCTCAGCTGATATTCAAGCAGCTTTCAGCACTATTGTCTCCAGGATACAGCGATAGTAAGTTATGCCTTTCTGCTTGTTGAGTCTCTTCTAGAAAGGAGGGCTTGTGGTCCTCAGCACTAAAAGCCTCTCAGTTCCTATGCCCAAGTGCTCAGGAAGTTTTCCATTTGATACTGGAGCAATAATTTTCCCTTCCAATGCTTCTCCTTCATTTATTCTCCTGAAGTCAGAGTAGTGTGGTTCTTCAGTACTCACCAGCCCTGCAAGGTGTTGCTGTGCCTCATTGTGTGGGGGGATACAAGTCTCCTTACATTGGCAGCACTGATATTACAAGATTGTACTGTGGACCCTGCCTCTAATGTCAGATCTAATAAGTAAAGCATGCAAAGCTAACAGATTTTAAAACAGTTTTTAATGTTTGTTTTTTTTCTCCCCATACACTTTGAATTAATTCTCAGTTAATGTTCTCAATTCCTGGAGGCATTCCCCAGGCTGTGACTATGTTCTGACACAGCAGTAGGCACATCCCAGCCTAGACTGTTGAGTCCATCCCCTTATAGATACTACAGTGTTTGAAAGAAGTCAGGAAGACCAATTAAGAAAGTACTCAGCAAAGTTGCTTTTTATTGACAGTGCTTCTGATGATCATTGTGATATTGCCTTGTGTATTGAATGAGCTGTGTTCTACCTTAGTTATTAACTGATTTTTTTTTAATTGTTCTGAGATGGTTGGAAACGCAATTACAAATATGTTCCCTCTTCTTCTGTCTAGCTGTAACTGCAACTCTCAGCCTCCAAGCCCAATGAAAATTGCAGTGGCCGGAGCCCAGAATTACCTCAGTGCTGTGTTGAGGCTCTTTGTAGAGCAGCTGTCTCACAAAACCCCAGACTGGCTTGGCTACATGAGATTTTTGATCATCCCTCTAGGTAAATAAGGAACAATTTTTTTTCATAGAAAGATGAATGAGTTAAATGTGATGTGTCCCCTTAGCAGTAGTCCTCCTTGAAGGCTTTGACCAAGTATATGGCTGTTAAATGAGAAAGATGTCATGCTGGCATAATATTGTTTGATGCTTGCATTGCTCGTGTGAGTGAATTTCATCTTCGTTCTTGATGTCAAAGTCTGCTTGTAAACGTTCTGCCTGAAGTAAGGGGCTGAGTCCTTTCTCCTATATGGGCAGGCTCATATATACCTTTTTATCATGATACAGTGAATGCACAGAATAATATTCTTTCCTGAAGGCCTTTCTCTGGCTGAAATCTTTAATTCGTTGAGCACTATTTCCCCAGGTGGTAACTGCTGTGGTCTCTCTGAGGCTAACACAGAAAATGTTTCTGGTGGAGGAATGGGAAGATGAAATATTTTTAAAGGCTTTGAAACTGCTGAGAGTTTAAGTTATTCAAATTGCACACATCTTTTGACCTTTCCTTCACATGCTGTTCTCCTCAGGTTCTACTCTCAGTCTCCCAGCACCTTATCTCTGCCCTTGTAACAGCTTGACAAGCCTGTCTGGCTGGGAGGTAACCCAGCTTGCATCCCTTGTGTCCAGGGGCAGACTGATAATAGCATTAGGGGTTTGCAATGGGCAAAAATGTGAGGAATGTTATAGCAGAGAGGCCAGGGGGGACAGGCTTTCATTAATGCTTACAGGCAGGGGCATCTGGGCAGTGCTGTGATTGTAGGTGTATGAGGCCAGAAGCTGGGCTAGTCTGAGGCTTGTCTTGTGTAAGCAGGGCTCTTGGGTGGTGAAGGCAGCAGTAATGTTGGAAAGTGTTTTTCTAAGCACTTCTTTCAGGTTTGGAAGCAGCTGCTTGGCATTCCTATAGGCACCACAAGCTGCTGCCCAGCACCCTGTGCAGTGCGGATTTGCCTATTGAGATAGTGGTGAGAGTTGGAGAAGTCAAGTGGAGAAGACAAAATGAGAGCCGGATCCTTCTGTAGGAAGGGCATTTTGTGTCCAAGGGGGTCAGCAGGAACAAGAGAGAGAGAACCCTTTAAGTAGTAGAAACACGGACAAGGAAAAATATTTTGTGCAGGCTTAACTTTGCTTTGAGTAGGAGTCTGTGTGGCTGAGGATTTTGGTCCTCACATGCTGCCTGCCACCTTGCATTCAAAGTGGAGTTTTCCATCTGCAGTTTTTAATGATCTGAAAATACTCCCTTTCTGAAGGTGATACACAAGGCTTAGGTAATGTTTGGAGACTTTTTTTTAAATCTTAAGACAGTGATAGTTTAAGAAAAAAAGAAAAAGAATAGAATGAAGAGCTTTAAGTTTATAATGCAATTGCTTCAGATCTGGGGATGTTTTTTGAATGTACTTCAAATATAGAAGCTTCTCTATCAGGACCTTCCCCGTGGAGTCTGCAGCATTTCCTGGTCAGATGAGATGCTTGTTCATGGCCAGCTTTCTGGCATTTCATTAAAGTGATTGAGGAGCAGCCTCTCTTTTCTGACAATTGAAAAAGCACCAAAGACCGAATGGTGACCACACTGTGGGTGTCTTAAAAGGAAAAAACTTTCTGCTGATAGCAGCACCTTCAAAGTAGGATTGGGAAGGAGTTGGTTTGGGTTGTTTTGTTTTTTTTTTCCTAAGATGGTTTGACCTTTTTAGCCCACAACTCCATGCTGTAATGACAGAGGAGCCAGCCTGTAGTGGTTTAACACTGAGAAATACTTATTGTCAGTAAACATCTGTACTGGGAGATTCAGTCCTGCTTTGTGCTTCTGATTCTGTGGCCGAAAGACACTTTTAATGTTGGAACTGGCGAAGAAACAGATGAAAAGGAGCAAAAAAGAGAAAGGGGAAAAAAAAGCTGAGGGTTATTGTCTGCATGTTTATTTTTTTAGCACTTTATTTAGCTCCAGTGGGTAGAACTTTTTGAGAGATCTTTTTTTGGTTCTTGTTTCCAGCTGCATCTGCCATGTGTGATGTTTGCCCAACAGATGGGAAAGCTGTCACCTCTCCAGTGCACGAGACAGAGCTGTTCCATGTTTACTCTTTAAAACTCCACTATGGAAGACATAAAAGTCTCCAAGCAGCCATTATCAGAAAAGAACTTGAAATTCAGTTTCTAATAATGCTGGAGGGAGCTTAGAAACCTTCTGCTGGAACCGGTTGTGGAAGTCTGAAAATCAGGGCTAGTTTGGAGGATGAGCAGCAATGGGGTTTCCCTGCCTTGAGCTTTGATGGTGGATGCTGAGAATATTTAAGCAAGGGTTTTTTGGGAGGAGCTGTCGGCTGCTGATGACCAGCTGAAGCTGCAGCCACTGTGGTCTCGGGAAGCATGACTTCATATGAGAATTCAGTGTGCAGGAAAGGTGAAAACAAGCTGATTAGGGGAGGCCCTGGGACCTGTTCATGTCGGACTGTAAATATACAAGACACACTGGGGTATGGAAACAGCAAAGCCTGAAATGGTCAGGTCTGGAACACCTTCCCTCCTATGCTGGTAGGCTGGAGCAGTAGTTTCAAGAATAGGTTGTCTGATCTGGGACACGTGGCACCTAAAAAGGAAAGTGACAAGTGTTTTGGCCTCTGGCAGGGCAGAGGTGATAGTTTCAATGATAGTTTCAAGTGTAGGCAGGCCTCCATCCAGGGCTGGACATGCTTTGGGACAGTAGGTCCTATCCATGCTCCTAGAGGAGCGTGAGGCTTAGGACAAGCAGAGACATAATGCACATGCCAACATTCACTAGGGATTACCATCCTTTTGTCTTTAATTACAGTTTTCTTATTGAGTTAGTGGCCATTTTGTTTCTTCACCAATTAAGCAAGGCTCCCTGGGTGGTGGCTCCTGGTTGCAGGTGATTTTTCCCCTTCTCTGTATTGCAAAACAGCAATGATGCATGAATGGAAAGAGTCTGTCTCCTCCATCTGTGGTGCCCACAGTGCAGCTGTGGGGAAGAAGGCCTGCTGAGAGAGCTGCCTGCAAAGCTGAGCGACTGAGATGTTGAGTTGTAGGGTCTGTGTGTCCCAAATCATTTATTTCCTCAGCAGTTTCCCAGTCCTGTTTGCCTTGGCCTTTTAAAGTTTAACTTGGCGGGGGGAAGGGGAGGTATCACTGGAAGGTATCAGCAGTGCTGGAGCAGTCTCTCTGCTAGCAAGTCTATTTGCATGCTCTTGTAGAGATAAACTGGGCTGAATTATGTTGTTATAATTGAGGCAATTTATTTCTGTAGTGTCTAGTGTAGTTTGATTTTGGAACTGAGTTCCTTACAGACAAAAAGCCACACCTGTGTTCACTGCTGGGGAGAACAACTGTCACATTTTCCTTTCTTTCTTAGGCTCTCATCCAGTGGCCAAGTATCTGGGGTCTGTAGATTATAGATACAACAACTTCTTCCAAGATGTAGCCTGGAGAGATCTGTTCAACAAACTTGAAGCACAGACCACTGGTAAGACCACGTGTCTGTGTCTAGCCTGTGCGGGATAAAGGGCTTCAATGAGTAATTTTAGCAAAGGTCAAGTAAATACCAGAGGAAGCAGAAAAATGTTTTTGTTCCTCTTTTTCCCTTCCTCTACCACATTCCCTTTTCAGATGCTGACCCTTGTGTGTCCTCTACTTGGTGTTTTGCAAACAGCTGTTGGCTGCAAAACACTTGGTGCCTGAGTTCTGCTGTTTTTACCTAGCTCTCAGCTTTGTTCTTTGATGTGGAGATCTCACTACCAAGTTCTGTGCTTCCTGTGGCTCTTCAGAAACTGTCCAGCCTAAAACATTTGGAAAACTGTAAACTTTGTGAAGGCTGACTTCTGTTTGGTGCACGGGAGGACAATGCTGGCACGTCTGAAATTCGCTGGCAGGATCTTTCTCATTAAAAAAGCATTTTGTTCCTAACCAGTGTTATTACGTGTGAGAGCTGCCCTAGGTCAGATCAACAAGTTCCTGCTCTGATCCGAATCTGTTCTAGGCCAGCATAAAACCTTACTGTTTGTAATAGTATTTATTTGCACAAATATGAATGCTTACAGTTTTTCCATCTGTTTCTTCAAGAACAGAAAGAAACGGGAGAGGAGGATTTGCATCTTTCATTTAGGGCTGTTTGAAGGCTTGAGATCTGATCACTGAGGAGTGATGCTGTGGAGACATATCCCCCACAGGAGTCTCATGAGCAGGAAAATGCTTTAGGGCTTTTGGAGCACTTGCAGGAGTGGAAACTTGCAGTGTTCCTTTTGGAATTGCAGAGGGTGTCAGAGGCTCCCTAGGGAGCAGGATGTTCATGGAAGTCCTTCAACGGTGAGAGGGGATATCTTTACAAGAGGTTATTTAGAGCTTTTCCCAGCAGGTGGGAACTTGGCTGGACACGGCTCTGGGCAGACTGCTCTAGAGGTGAAGTTAGCCCTACCTGGAGCAGGAGGCTGGACTGGAGACCTTCATGTGCACACAGCCATCGTTTTTTGTTGATTCTAAGCTCATGGAAAAAGGAAAGGTCCAGAACAGATTTCTTCCAATGCCTTGAAAATAGAGACAAACGTTGATATAAATTTGACTGTTGTCTGGCTTTTAGGGTTGTATCATCAGTTGCAGAGATCCAGCTCAAAAGCTGTGTAAATTCTCTGTAGATTGTATGCTGCAGCCGTTATTTACTTGCCTGCATGCAATGAGGAAAATGCAGCATCACTTTTCTTGCCATCTAGGCCTTGTAGATTCTCCATTTTCATCTGTACGGTGAAAACTGCCCAGAAACTCCGTGATGGCATGGGAAGATCTGGCCAACAATGATAGTTCTTTGCGGTTCCCTGTTCAAATAATTGTCAAACAAAAACAACAAAGAAAAAACTCTGGGTAAAAATGCCCATTAAGATACACAAGTGTTAGGTGAAGGTAGCTTGCTTTTGCTTGATTTCACAATTGAGACGTTCTTCCTGGAGAAAAAGGATGGGGAAGGCATTTGGGAAATGCCTTCCTGTTGACTGGAATCAAGCACATTTTCACAGATGTCCAGCACACTCGCTGCTACAGAAGTAGTCTTTGGGCTCTTCCTGTCCTTGCATGGCTCTTGGTCTTTCCAATGACCTCAACGTGTCTTTGAGCTCACAAGGAAATCAGGAAACTTAAATGCTGGTGTGAGCACAGCAGGTACCTGGGGCTCTGGGATGCCAGGCACTTTCTTTGGCAGATACGCGCAGTCAGGATATGTAGAAATGTCTGAAGTTGACTGAGCAGGCACACGTTTTCAAAGAAAAGCTATTTTAACACGTATAACCACGATACTTTGATAACTAATGCTGTGCCTCGATGCCTGTATATGTAGTGTGCCTACTTATGTTTATATTTTGGTACTCTTGGAGGATGTTTCCTTTCTTTTGTTGTTTTAGATATCATTGCAGTGCTCCGGAGTGGGCTGCTCAGCTTCCTTTGGAAGATGCAGTTGATTGCAGCTAGCTGGGTACCGTCAGCTGCTTGGCTGAGCAAATGGAGGGTGGTGCTAGTGATGGTCTGAGAAGTCACTTCATTGATTTTCTCCTCTCTGTTGCAGTTGCAGAAACGCTTGATGTTGTCTCCCGAATAACGCAGTACATAGCAGGGGCAAACTGTGCGCACCAGTTGCCCATTGCCGAAGCGATGCTGACGTACAAGCAGAAAAGGTATGTTACTGACAGAATGCTAGCTTCCCAGAATGGCCATCACAGTGGACGTGGAGTGCTTTTCTTCTCGTGTGTACTTGCAGTTTTAAAATCATTCAAAACTGCAGACATCTTGTGAGCCTGGTCTTACCCTGCTTGCAGTCATATATTGCACTTAGGTAACGGCGAGTCTGCCACAGTGTGGTTACTTCATGCAGTGATTTCTTTGGAGACCTGGGAGCTGGGGAAGTAAGGCTGTGGGCTGTGGCATTCCCTACCAGATTTTATTTCAACTTCTTTGAAGGGATAAGCAGCCTGTCCGACGGAGGATTGGGGTCTAAAAAGATTTAGAAGTATGTACACCCTCATACAGCCGTTATCCATGAAGAAGAGTGATTTTTCACTGAAGGAGAAATGCATTATTTCTGATGCCCGGTGGAGAATAATAAATTTGAATTCATGCAAATCACAACAACTTTTCAGAGCAGGGCAAACACATCGAGTCATTTCTCTCCATTTAGGCTGAGGAGTCTCCTGTGGGGCACGGATGGTTTTAATTAGCAGCTACCCTCCCTATGTTATATCTGATAGCTATCACTGGTGCATTGTTTGCCTTAGAACAGGGAAGAATTAAAATGTGGATGGTTACATTTTTCTTCTCATCTTGGGAATGTTCACTGCTGTTTGGAATTGCTTTTCCATTCATCTTTTACACTACTTTGCAGACAAGATTCAGTAAAGTTTAGCTCTTTCATAATGCTTTTCTAAATGAAAATGTTCCATACGACTGTTAAAGACTATGTTCTCTTCACGTGTTCATGATCTTCTTTAATTCTGTGCTGATGAAAGTGAAGTTTGGAGAGCCACAGGGTGCTCAAAGCTCTTAGCTTTTTGTTGTGTTTGGTGTGAAGACTTACCTTAGTTACAAACACAGAGTTTAGTGCAACATTAACCCTTTCTAGTAGCTGTTTTGTTTTCTCTGCACCCTTCACTGGCTGGATTTTGCACTATTCTCCACTGCTTTGTCCATTCAATTGCAGATTCACTTTTGTGTTTAATGCGCATTTCATCATTTTGAGTGTCTGATGTGCTCAAAAAGGTCATTTTGTCGAACAAACACCTGAAATCTACTTTAGCAACACTCACTTTTAATAGTGGTGCAGTGACCTCTTTACCAAGCTGGTCTGATCTATTTAGATTTTAGAATGTGTGTACAGTGCCTGACACTATGGAGAGGTTCATGTGATGCTGCAAATTCAAACCCTGCAGGAGCTTGCTTGGAAGAGAGCACTGAGACCGAGTCAGATTTGTGGCGTAGCCCACAGTCTTTCAGTGTCTCTTTCCGCTTTGAAACAACTTCCACTTTCAGCTAAGCAGCACATGAGTAAACTGAAGGATGAGCCAGAGGAACAGACTGTCCTGTGGAGCAATGGGCAGTTGTCTCCTCGTGGCTTTTTTTAGAACTGCAGCTCTTAGGGAGAACGTTACGAAAAAAGAGCACTATCTAAATGAATGCATCGCTTTGTTGTAAGTATAATAACATATTTATCTCTTTCTTTGGTTGCTTTCTGAAAAGGAAAAAGAGCTTTCATTTTGATTTTACTCTAAGGTATCAATTCCTTTTAGGTTCACTCTCCCATCTCCTGTCTCCTTTCCACCCTTGAGCTGGTCTTTTGTGCCTTGTTTAACAGTTCGTGCAAGTCTGGGATGCTCAGTATGTGCTTCAGGTTATATTCTGTTCGCTGCTTTGAAACTATGGCACTTGCTGGCAGAATGCACTACTAAAAGAATGGCTCTGCCTTTGGGCCACACGTATGGGTTGCCAGGGCTGAAAGGAATGAAGGAGCTGTGGAGGAAGTAGCTTTGAGCAGTAGGTGCCTTTCTTCCCTAATTCCTAGTCAATCCTTGCTGTTTGGTTGCAGTGTCAGAGGATGTAGTGTAGCTCTAGAAGGATTGGGACTGAGCAGACTTTCCATTTCCCACTGCTCGAACCAGAGTGCTCTAGGTGGTGCTCAGGGCATGTTTTGTGCCCCTGGTTTTGGAGTTTGAGCCACTTGAGGCTCAGCTGTGCAGTGTCTGAGTGCAGACCAATGACTTTTCTCCCCGTAATCAGAAAGTTGAGGACTAGTCGCATACTGGCAGGTATCACATGGGAATTCCCTGAGCCTAAGAGGAGATAGAATGGATGCTAGTGGTGGGAGTTGTGCTCCATGAGCTGCCCACGAGAACCCCTTACTTTAAACCTTACTATTACTGGACATGGTTTATTTTGACCTCTGTTCATGAAGTTATTGCAACTGTATCTCCCTCAAGGCTAGAGGTGAATGGCTTCTCCAAGGCCAGCTTCCAAGGCAATGCTCAGTGTATAGGCGACAGCACTACCTACAAATTCATTGCAAGACAAATTTCCCAGTATCCTAGCATTTGCTCTGTTAAACAAGCCCAAGATCCAAGGAAAGCTAAGCCAGCTAGCCAGTCCTTAGGACATAGCTGTATGTGATGAGCTGCTTTATAACTTTATTGCCAGCTGTCCCTATTTGACTGACCTCCGCTGTCCTTCCCATCTCCTTGTTCTGTTTGTCATGCTGAGAAGTTGGCGCATGTACTGCCTGTGGTGGACTGTGAATGGTGCAAAAGCTTTGTCCTATTCTTTTGGAGCATCTGCTGACCTGACTTGGAGAGGGCTGGGAATGGGGAAGGTACTAAGGAAGAAAATCCTTGCCATTTCAACTCAGCTGTGTTACAGTGTGTGCCTGGTATTTTCTCTGCACGCTGGGAGAACTAAAGGGTAGTGGATTGTCAAGAAACATTGCAGCTCAGGACGCATTTGGGAGCTGAGACCCTGCTGGCAGAGGTGGGCCTCCCAGTAGGAGGGGTGCATCATCAATGTTGTTATCTCTCTGCATTGCTTTTTGAAAGAAACCCCACAGTGTTAGAGATCTGTCAGCAGCCACTCACTCCCAGCACACTTGGATTGCTGATCAGTTTGGCACACCTGGGCTGGTGTCAGCCACTGCGATTCAGCATCCAGCACAGCTCGTGACACGTGGCTTCTGGATAGCCCTTGCATGAACTTGGGAAGCAGCCTGGCTATTGGAAATGGAGTGTTGCTCGCTGGTAGGGAAAGGGCTGAGTCATTCACTCACTCTTAGCTCATGTTTTAAGAGAACTTCCACAGCTCTTGCACTTTGCAGTGCAAGAAAGTGCCCTGTGTTAAAGAGTGAGCCTGTGTGGCTCCTGGGCAATAAGAAGCAGAGATAAAGCTATTTTCTGCCTGTTGCACTTCTCTGGCTCCTGTGGGGTGTTGGCCAGGCACAGAGTCCAGATCCTTTCTCTGAGTGCTGCTTCTAAACTGCACCCTGCAGCAGCTGCTGAGTGTGAACACAGCTTGTGAAGATGGACCTGATCCCACCTAGCTGGTTGCTGCCTGAACCTCCTCACGCAGTGGAAATCTTTACCTGCACCTCTTGCCTGATGGAGTGGTGTGGAAGAGGAAGGAATCAAGGCTCAAGGAACACGATGGAAATTCTGCTACATACGGCCAGTCTGCTGTGGGAGCACTGTAGGAGAGTGTTATGGGGAAGCAGAGAGGTCACTCATGCAATGTCATTGGAACCTGGAGTCCTTTTGTCCCTTTGCTTCATTTCAGCTCTGGAGACTTGGTGGAACTTGTAAACAAAGTCTTAAGGGAAAGCCTAGCAACTGGCATAACTGTTCTTAGTGATTATTCAGTTCCTCTTACTGTGATACTAGCGTGCTTTGAGGTGTATTTTGTCCTTTGTCCTAGAAGCGAGAGAGATTATTTCTTCCTTCTGTCAGGGGGCTGACTCCTGGTGATATACCTTCTCATTTCTAAGAGCCTTAAAGCATCTAAATCTGCCTGTGTATCTTTGTTCAATCTGAATTAATTTATTTTGGTGGAGAGAGAACGCGCTAATCTGTTCCTGGGTAGGAACAATTGATTGCAGGTGGAAGGATTATACCCAATCAAAACCAGTAATTTGACAACCACCCATTACAGGTAAAGAAGATTTTCTTCCTAGCCTCTCTGCATGGGTTTAGGATTTATTATTCCTAAGAAATATAGATGAAGTATCCAAAACCACAGTTCAAAATATCACAAACCAGGGTCAGGTCTGGCTTTGCATTAAAGGTGGGTATGCATGCATGTGGTAGGAGGAATAGAAGAGATACTGGCTAAGGTGAGAGGATTCTGGATGAATGTTTTGGGATCGCAAAGGACAAGAAAGAAGAAAGAGTGAAAAAGAGAAAATGAGGAAGGAGCACAGTCATCTTAGCTCTCCTTTGGTCTACATGAGGAGCAGCTGCTCTGGTAAGCTGCATTTTCAGAGGTGTATGTACAAGATTGTACAAGAGTTGCCCAGAGGGTGTGACAGGACTAGCCCAGCTGAAACCCAGCCAGATTGCTTGGGACTGCCTGTGTGTCACTGTGAAGCGGTGGCTGAAGCAAATGATTTATTGCAGAGTAGCTCCTCTACTCTCTTTGGTGAGATGGAGCTCCTTGGGGAAACGTGAACAAGTTATCTGCTGGAGTTGGGCAAGGTTTGCTTCTGAAGAGCTTGGAGCAAAGCCACGCAGTAGCTGTGAGATGACTGAGCTATGACTGCGCTTCCTTTGTGTGATGAGCAGGACTTGGTGCTGCCTGATCTGCAGGCTGTGGAGCTGAAGGAAGGGTGAGAAAGCTGAGCTTCTCTCAGCATCAATATGGGTTTCTCCTTTCCCTTGACAAAAGTGGAGCTGGAAGTCTTGTGCTCTGAAGAGATAATTTTGCTGGGGACTTGCATCCGTGGTTGGACACCAACCCACCATCAGGAGCTCAGACGTTTTTTTGATGTGCTTTAGGGAAAGAGTGAAGATGCAATGCTTGGGATCAAGAGCAGGGAGGGAGCAAAGCCCCTCAACAACAGCAACGTTGTGGATAAAGGCGGTGCAGGATTTTGTACTGAATGTTGCACTGCTCTGAGCACTGAGGGATGTGCAAAAAGAGAAACATGAAGAATCTTGGTGTTTGCCTTCCTACCTGTTTCCCAGCCTTGGCCACTGAGAAGCATTGTGTGCAGTCACTTTCTCGGCTGGACTTCACCTCCTCTGTACGTATGGGTGTGCTCTGCAGCACCCGTGCCTCTGTGTGCAGCACAAGAGGGGAGCAGTGGCTCTGTGGGCCCTTCCAACCCACTTGGATCCTCCCCAAGTCCTTGTGGATTCTCTCTGGCCCCTGTTAGATCTGACTGTGGCCTGCCTTGCTGGCCTGTTGTCTTCACCCTCTGGTCTCTGGAGCCTGGGTGGGAGCAGAGCAGGAAGGAACATACATAGTATTGTCTTCAGGCATCTCTGGGCCATCGTGTGCATTCTGTTGGGTCTGGTTTAGCTGTTTGCCATTCTCAAGCTGGTGTCCTGATCTCCCCAGTGCGCTCCGTTTCTTGTGCAAGCTCCCGATGGCGGGGAACGTGCATCCGTGTGAGTGTGTGCGCGTGCGTCCTGCAGTGCTGTGCCAATAACCACGTGTCACGGCTTGTAACCCCGTGGCAGGCTAACTGCTTTAGAGATGCTGGGATGTGCAAGGTATGGCACATGGCTCCAAAGGTGGGACGTGTGACGGCCATCCGTGCAGAGCGCTTCAGGTCCCAGTAAGTAACGCGCAGTTGTTGGTGTTGTTGTGGCGCAGATCCATCTCCTCGCAGCAGGAGGCCGTGTGTCTGTACTGCCATAAAGCATGTTTCTCTGTGAAGCGGGAGGGAGGAGGAGACCTTCCCCTCGGAGATGGGCTGTAAGCTGTGTGCTCCTCCCTGCCCGTGCAGATCTGAGCGTGCTGGCAAGGGGCCCTGAGAGGAGACATTGGACTGGCGCTTGCATACTGTCCATCCCTGCTGCATGCTTGAATGCAACATATGAAGTGAGTATTGTGCCCAGCATGGAAGCAAGCTATTAACAACTCCTTTCTCTTTGCCTTTAGCCCTGACGAGGAATCTTCGCAGAAGTTCATTCCCTTCGTTGGGGTGAGTGTATTTTAGTTAATGTCTCATGCCACAGGGTTAGAATACTTCCCTGGTCCCTGGGGTACAGCAGGAGCACTGTGTGCTCTAAGACGGAGGGTTAGCATGGGCATCTGATGGTGGGATGCAACCGCCTCGTGTGTAAGCATGCCTCTAAGACCTCTCAGAACATTGCTGGTGCTTCAGTTCCCAAGCAGCCAGTTCCAGGCTTGCATGCCCGCCAGCACATAGCAAGCACCATAGCCTAGCTGTTACATACTTCAGTACAGAGAAGAAAGCGTGCTGCCAAAATGCTCTGCCCTGTGGCCTGTCTTTGTTTCAGACCAAAGCACCTGTTTGGCACAGAGTTACTGCTGGGCCATGTCAGGGGAGCGGGGTGTGTTCCTGGAAACCTAACCTCAGTTTCCTATGCTGAGTATTACCCTGCATGATCAGTGTGGCCAAATGTAGTATTCCATTATCAGTTCTATGTATGCTTATCATGAATGGTCTCTAGCCCTCTAAATATTCCATCCACTCCTGGGAAAAGGAGAGTACATCCCACTGGGCAGATCACATATCCCACTGTTAGGTTTGCCTAAGGCAGTAGCTGTTTAATGTAGTTTATCATATGAATATGTAGTTGGGATGGTAGTCCCTGACTTGTCCTTCTTGCCTTTACCTTTAAAGTGCACGCTTTCTGGGCAGGGTGTGTTTGTGCTCCTGTTGGTGTGTTTTGTGCACCATGTGCTTTGCCTCCAATAGATTCCCTCCCCTTCTCTGATGCTCTTCAATTCCTTAAGTTTTAGGTATTGAGTCATTGTCCTGTGGCCCAAAGGGTAACCCTTGACTGTTCTTCAGTTACCATGTTCTCTTCCACAGCTCTTGCCTCTGCCCTGTAGCTCATTTTTCTTGCTTGCTGGTTGCCTTGTTCTGCCTACTCTGTGTTAAGCTGACTGCTGTGTGTTCCTGTTTGTATCCCCACCAATGCGTCAGAGCTAATCTGAAATCCCAAGGAGTTTAAAGAGTTGATCCACTCCTGCACTCAGGCTGACCTTGCTTTCACTCTGTCTCATTGCAGTGCACATCTCTCCGCAGTGCTCCTGTGATGGTGACAATAGACTTTTATTTGTAGAGGGAAAGATACCTTTTGCTAAAGTAGAGGCACAACTTCTCAATTTGCTTCCTGCTGATGAGTTTTGCTGTGGTACTGTGTGTGTCCTGTGGTTGCTGGGCAAGAACTGCTGTCATGAAACAGCTGTTTCCCTGCCCCACTAACAGGAAAGACTCAGAAGTGCTGGAAGGCTCCTGGGCCCGTCTTACTGAGCAGTTAGGCTCTGCAGAGCTTTTCATAGGGATTGATTTAGTTCAACACTGCCATATGCAAGCAGATGGGATCCAGAGGTTTTGTCTGGTTGCTCCTTAAATGAATATTATCCTTACATTAGCAACACTTTTCCAGTCTCGATTTGACTGTGTAGAAGAGAAAGAGAGAAGTGTCTGTGTGTAATGCTGCCAATTTCCCCCAAATTTGCCTTGAAAATACCGCTTGACTTTCCACATTGACTGGTGGAGAGGGTCAGGTCAGTGCTGCTTATTTCTGCCTCTGATGTACTCCTGACATTGGGGCTGTTGGCCAAAAAGGGAGGGAGCTGGAAATGTTGGTGTTTGGGACTCCTAATGTTGCTTGGACTCTGGCTTCTGGACTGCAAAAACTGAAGACCTGCAGCTGTTTTGGCTGTGCTGCATAGCTGGGCTCTGAGAGATGAGAGGAGAGCCTTGTGAAGGGCCGACTGCACGCACAGGCCGTGGTTGTGACACTACACTGTCCTGCACTGTGCCAACAGCCAGGTGCTGGGAGAGTTAACAGGACGCACATCCTTCCTGCAGGGAAAGGAGGCTGGCTGCATCATTGCTGAATGGAGGCTTTGGTGGAAGGGCAGGAGTCCCACGCCCCTTCCTGAATGAAGGGAAGGCATTTAGCCTCGTCTTCCTCCCATGTGTCTGACCTCGAGCAGCATCAGTCGGCCAACAGAAAGGAAAAGGCCAAAAGAGATTTCCTTTCTGGCTTGCAGATCAAGGTGGTTGCAGGCAGTTTTCTGTATTCCTTGTTCTTTCCCTAATTCTAATGCCTCATCTCCTCTCATTCCCAGTTCCTTAGTCTGTGAAACATCCTCTTGGCATTTAACACATGCAGCACAAGTGGCTGTTGACTCCAGAGCTTGATTTGTTTCTCTTCAAACAAAGGTTGGCCAGATTGAGCTGCAGGGCCCACTGAGAGTCCTACTTCCATCTCCCAAGCCACTCTGCTGCGCACACTGCTGCATTCCAAGTGACTTTTCCGAGGCTGGGGTTAACAATCTACCAAAGAGCCTCCAAGCTCTCTAAGTCTGGTGCTGAGTGTACAGCCAGCTCCCACCACTTCAAGAGCTGTGCAAAGTGTTTTGCTTCAATGATTAAGTCCTGTTTGTTGTCTCTGTAGCAAAGAAATCTGCTCCCTAAAGATGTGCTCTACACAAACTTAATCATGTTCTGTTTTCAAGCAAAATAGGCTGAGTGACATTTTCTCACTCTAAAATGTTCTACTGACTTGAGGATACTCGGTGTACTGACTGGTGGTTGTTCGTATCAGTGTGCATTTGTGGCCACATTACAGTGTGATTGGAATTGTTCTGAGCTGTACATGTGATGGTTTATCTGTGCATACAGGCTATGCTAGGAGCTTTATTTTATTTGCCAGATACCTCTCTTGTTTGGAGATTAGAAAACTCTGATCAGAATCTGTACTTTGCTGCTTTTGTGGTTTCCTAACACAACCCAATTCTGGTGCTGCCTGGAAGCAGCTGCACTTGTGTGGTGGAAGCAATCCCAGCATCAGAGCAGTGCTAAAAAGATACTTGTATTCCTTTGTCCTCTCTGCCTTATTCCCACAGGAGGCATGAGCAGGCCTTATAGGTGACATGGCTTGGGGCTGACCTTGGGCTAGTCGGAGCTGTGCAAGTCTGTAACAGCTCTGTAGGGTCGGTGCTTTCTTTTGGGTAAGTAAGAGAAGGGATATGAGCTGGTTCTACTCATCTGGATGTGGATAGGACCTGCTGGGCCTTGCAAAACTCCACTTTTACCATGCTTTTACACTGCTTTGACTGTAGGGACAGTGCCACAGGTAGCTTTAGGGTTGGACTGACTTTGGGAGGTGAAGAGTTCCCGAAATTCATAGGACTCCTGTTTCAGAGTTGTCCTGTTTGCTCTTTCCTTTCTAGGTGGTGAAAGTTGGAATAGTGGAACAATCTTCTGCGACGTCAGGTAACGAGCATCTCATATCTGTTTCTGGTGTCACACAGATTGCAGGAGGCTGATTTCACAGGCTGGAAAGACCTGTTTGTTGCTTGTGTCTTCAGGTTTTTCTAAGATGAAATTGCTTGTGTTAGCTCTCAGTTCTGTTGCGTTTAACTCGAAGAATTTCCTCTGTATTTCAAGAAGCCCTTTTTCTTGGTACTTTTCAGAGAGCTTTAGGCTAGCTGAAATTCCCACACCTTCGTCCAGGGAACTTCCACTCAGATATGGTCTAACACCCATTTTTTGTATGTGTATGTAATATGGATTCACCACTATGGTTACTTGAGGTTTCCTACTCCCAACTTGAGAGGCAGCTCCATTCCCTAATGAATTCAATCTCAAACATGAGCCCAACACTGGGAACTCCAAGACAGGCAGCAGTTTGCCAGTCCAACAACAAATTTTGGGCCATGTTTTAATGTGGGAGTGTAAAGCTTGTTTACACGTGTTTACACCTATTGACATGGTGTAGTGACATTTTTCAGTGTGAACTTTTTTTCCTCCTTCACATACTACTAATCAGAAAGTCTTTTTCCTAATCAAAAATCAGCTGGGAACCTCAGAACAAAAGCTGGGAGAGAAGATGCCAATGGGGAGCCCAGAGCATTGTGAATGTCTCTGCCTCTTACCCAGACATAGGCAGTCCCATGCTGTAGGTGTGGAGCAGTCACAACTGGTGGGCTAGCTGATCTCTGGGCTGCATCTGAACAAAGCCAATACGGAGATGTGTACAGCATGAGTGTGGGTAAAGATACTGAGCTATCCCAGTGTGCACGTGCTAGACTGTGAGACAAACCCAGACAAACAGCTTGGCTTTCTCTCTGCAAGGTGACTCTGATGATGCAGCTCCCTCAAGCTCCAGTGTCCTTTCTTCTACCCCACCTTCTGTGTCTCCTGCTGTGAAAGAAGCCTCCCCCACACCACCTTCCTCACCGTCTGTCACAGGCAGCTTCTCATCCTCAAGGTAAAGCATGTTTTGTCTCATACACCCCCCTTGTCTGTGTTATGACATATCCAGGAAGGAGGAAAGCTCCAAAAGGAAAACCTGTAGCTCTGCCTTCTTCCTTCTCAGCAAACATTTGAATATGTCACCTCTGTCGTGCGCCTCTCTTGCCTCTGGTCCTTGCTGGCCCCAGGGTACCTGAGGAAGGTAGAGGGGATCTTACACCTGATAGAAACATTTTTTCAAGGACAGGCATGTTCAATGAGAAGGGGCCGCTTTTGTTTCTGATGGCCTGGTAGAAACCGTGATTGTTGGCAACCTGTTTGGGAAGGTTTGTGTTCTCTGTCTTCTGGAAATTTCCCTTTGAGTCTGAATTCTGCTGGGGAGTTATGTAGCCAAATAAAATACTGACCCTAATCCCCAGATACCTGTTCTGTAGCTGGCTTAATCCCTCGCAGTTGTTATAAAACGGTTATAAGGACCAAGGAACTGTAAAGTCAGAGTGACTCACTGGAAATAGCAGGCTTTGTCTCTGTGACATGGGATAGTTGTAAGGTGGTAAAATGTAAATGCAGACTGCCTGAGAGCATATCTGAATAGCAAGGAGGCAGCATCTGTAGCAACATGAAGTTCTGCTTTAGTTGAAATGTGTAGACTTAAAAGGAGGAAACCAGCAGAAGATTGCCAGTAAAGAATTACCCTGGTGAGGACTCATTCTGTTGAACCACAAAATGTTGGTGTAGCTATCTTGCTCTTGCTGTGCAGTTCTGGTATCCACCTCCAGAAGCACATGATGAAGTTGCAGTTTCAGAGGAGCCCAGGTAACATGATCAGGGGAACAGAACAGCATCTTATAAGGACAGGCCAGAAATGCTTGGATCCTGCAGTTTTGGGGAAGAGGAGACAGAGGTAAGATGCTCACATTTTCCAGAATTGTAGTTAAACTGTATTTTGCCATACCTGTGGTACAAGACCTTGGCACACATAAAATTAACAAGAGGTCGGTTGTAAAGGAGAAAGGAAGGGGTTTCTGCACGCTACAGGAAGGTGTGTAGGGACCACATTTGCCTCTGCTACTTTTGTAGCAGCGGGATCAGCAGTTCAATGAGGGGTTAGGCAAATTCATGGATAGCAGATCTGTTAATGGATAGCAGAGGATGATGCAGGGATGTCCCCTCTGACATCCTTAGCCCTGTGATCATCACACTGAGGAAGTCAGAGAGTGCCCTGCAGTTAGAGACTGTTCTCTGTAAACAGCGTCTCCTACTGTCCCTTTCCTGCTTATCCCTGAGAGCCCCTTGGGGCCCTTTCAAGCCAATTTTAGGAATCAGAAGCTAAAGTTTCCTTTTAGCAAATGGAACTGGAAATGTGGAAGTCCTGGATTAAGCACATGCCCAGTGAGTGGAAAGTGTTAGTGGGTTCAGCCTGCCTTAGGAGCTCACTTACCAAATCCCTGCTGTTGGCTCCTGGGAGAGCCCTCACTGCCCAGAGAGTCCCAGCCACAGCTGCTTGCTGCTGCTGGGACTGTGCAGGCTCTGGAGGGCAGAGCTGACATCTCTTCTGGGAGATTCACATGGGCTTTTCAAACGGGGAAGTGGTTTGGGAACTGTACCCCCAGGAGTGCAGGCTGTTAAAAGGAAGTTTAGGTTCAACATTATTTCATCTCCACTGATCTGGATGTGACTGCACAGGAGATGGAGGATGATCCAAACTTGGAAGATTGAGCCACTTGTTTAGCCAAGGTCGTGTCTGGGACCGGCTTTACAACTGAGATGAGAAATGTGCTGTGAAAAATCCTTGAAACAATCTCGGTTCTGAAGCTGTACTCAGAAACCAAACCGTGGTTTTGGTGGACCTGGATGAACTTTGTTGCTGTCTGGCTTCAGCTGAATAACTGATAATGGGAATGATTTCCAGAGAAGACTAGTGGTGGTCTATCCTTATTTTACATGAGAGTTTCTGATTATGCAAGTGATGTTGAGGAATGCTTATTTTATTCAAGAGCTTCAATTAATCTCTTTTTAAACAATTACCATTTCTTAAACGAGACCCTGCTAAATATAATTAGTCAGCAGACTGATAGATCAGTTTTTGTTCAGTACTTGCATGTTAATCAACTCCGTGTAGGAAGAAGTACAGGGGTTGGGTAGTGTGAGGAAGGGGCAGACAGAGAGGGTGGTGGAATTTCCCAGGTTGCTCATCTTCCCTTTTCAGGCTTTAGAAAGGCTGATAGTGTGTTTTGGTGGCACATCTGCTGCCACATGATGCGCGGGAGTTTTCAATAGCACATCATGTCCTGAAATCTGCCATTGTTTAGCAAACATCACAGGGCTTGTGAAGCATTTACCCAGCACAGGAATTTCCCAGCCAGCAGCAGGGCTATGGAGCGGATTGCTCCGTGCCCTAACAGGGACCTGGAAAGGGCAGGAGTGCTGTGTGACCTGTGGAGCATTTGAACAAGAAGGAAGGAAGCTGGTGACAGAAAGAGATCAGGGACATAGGTGTTGGAAGTAATTCAGACAGAGATGGCTTTGGCAATGCTGTGCCTGGCCAGGCCATTCGCTCATCAGTGCTTGGGAGACAGTAGCCAGTAAGTGCTTACAGCTTCTCATCCTTTCTTGAAGACTGGAAGCGACCCTGGGCCACCTCAGGGGTCAGGTTTGCTAGCTGGGTCACTGCACTCCATGTTGGGAAGTGGTTTGTCTGATCCCTTCCCCACTGCTTAACTCCATGCCTGTGTAGAAGGTCAGCTCATTCCAGCTTGTTGCAGTGCTGAGCTGCTGCCACCCTGTAATGTGACCTGGGCTGCATCACTCATTGATGACTTCTGCTGTGTTTCTGACTCATGGGTCTCACCAAGAAATGTTGCTGCCTGATTTCACAAAGAGCCAAGCATTTCTCCCCGGCTCTGTTTTTCAGTGGCTGCTGCTCTTGACCAGACAGTGAGAGAACTCTGCTGAGCATCGTGCAGAAATGAGCTGCTTCTCTTGTTTTCTAGCCAGGGCCTTGGTGCTGAGCTGATGGGCCTGCAGGTGGATTACTGGATTGCAGCTCCACCCATGGACAGAAAGAGAGACCCGGAGAAGAAGGACCCTTCCACTACCAAAAACACACTGAAATGCACTTTCCGGTCCCTCCAGGTCAGCAGGTTACCTGCCAGCGGGGAGATCGCCACCACTCCAACCATGTCCATGACTGTCGTGACAAAGGAGAAGAACAAGAAAGGTAAGGTAAACGTGCTGACTGTTGCCAAAGGCCAAGAACGCAGTGCTGCTCTCCTTGTTCTGCAGCCTTGGGGCTGATTTGTCAGTCCTGCGTTACAGTCAGTCCCCAGATCCTAGTCTGTCTGTGGGTAAGAAGTGGCTTAATGAGGTGCTAGTTTGAAAGGATGGTGGTTCTTTGTGCTGTAAGGAGTTGTGTCCATGCTCACGGCTAAGATGGCAGAGCTCAAAGGAACAACAGTGGGGACAGAGAAAGGTCTGTTGTGGGTGACTGTGTTAGAAGGCCTGGAGGTGCACAGTGTCCCAGTGTCCACAGCAGTGTTCCTTGTTGCTTGTGTGGGATGCTGGGTGAGATAGGAGGGAGCTCATGCCCCTGACCACCAGGCTGAGATGCTTGGACCTGAAGTCTTTGTGTGCATAGATGGCAGTGCAGAGTGCTGGCATGGTCCTGCTAAACGGTCCTGCCAAACTCCTACCAAACAACTAAGAAATGAATTCAATTGTTACTTTGAGACATGAACATTTAAATAATAATAAAAAAAGCAACACAACATCACTAGTGAGTCTTGGTGCATCTCTTGTGAGCAGCAGAGATTCACTTTCTTTGCTTGTTTGATTTTCTTCCAGTGATGTTTTTACCCAAGAAAACAAAAGACAAGGAAGTTGAGTCAAAGAGCCAGTGCATTGAAGGAATCAGCAGGTTGATTTGCACAGCGAAGCATCAGCAGAACATGCTGCGGGGTATGTACAGCTTGCATCCCTTTGGCTCTGGGGTGAGCCTCAGCTGCCAGCTGTTTTCCTGCAGGCAAAGAGCTGCCCTTGTAGCTGCCCTGTGCCCTGGAGCTGGTGTAATGGGGTCTTCCTGGGGAAGGGCTCACATCTGCAGGCAAACTTAGCAGTGTCTGTCAGGGGAGCTGTGTCTCCAGTTTCAAAAATATCCTCGTTGCCTGTTCAGTTAATAATTCCCAGTACTGTTAACAGAAATTTTCTCAGGTCACCCTCCTTCATTCTGGCCCAGTCCACGTGAGACTGCCGAGTGAGGGGTGGTTGCCGAACAACATCACCTCTGCAGGAAAGGCAGAGACCCCCTGGTTAGAAGTGTGATGTGTCTGTCTCCATAAGAGCATGTTTGCTCAAAAAAGAAAGCGGAGAGCGTTTGGGAAACTGGAGGGATCAGATCAGGTGAAGCTGAAATCAGCAGTCTGGGAAGCTCCAGTGCTGCTGGAGCAGCAGTCTGAGCCGCTCTTCCTATCACTGGTCTGTGCTTCAGCCACGTGTAGCAACAGTGGTGGGTTGGCCCAGCAGTGCAGCTCACACCCTGAGCACAGAATGTAGCCAGGCCTCCCTCTGCTGACTGCAAGGAGCTTTCTAGCAAAGCTGTTTCTGGCTGACCACTTACACTTGCTGTTTTCTAACTCACCTGTTTTATTTTTAACTTTCCCCTGTAGTCCTGATTGACGGAGTGGAGTGGAACGACGTCAAGTTCTTTCAACTGGCAGCACAGTGGTCCTCTCATGTCAAGCACTTTCCCATCTGCATATTTGGGCACTCCAAATCTAACTTCTAGCCACGCTCGGAGGGACCTCTGTCCATCCCAGGGACTGCACACCAGGAGCCAGGAACTGCGTGCCAACTCGACTCGCATCACTCTGCCCTCTCCTGCAGAATTAATTACAGATGTGCTTGGATTACTTTTGAATTACTTTTTTTCTATTAACTCTTAAGTTTACTACAAGGGAAGGAAACCCCTTTAAACAAAGGCAAAAAACAACAACAACAGTCTTAAATATAGATGTGCTGTCAACAAAGCTATGGGGGAGTTGGCAGGAGCAGGCAACCTGCCCAAATACCTCCCACTTCGGAGCAGATAGCTGAATAACTGCACTGCTTATTAACCTGAGACCTCATTGGTGTGTGTGGGCTGGGGGGGCCGTGGATTTTGCAGAAGATCCTGCATGTTACGATGCGTTTTGACCCCTCCCTCCATATTTCTGGGAAAACCAATGGCCAGTCTTTCTTCCTGCTGCCAAAGGATGAGAGATCAGCGAGTCTGCAGGGCGTCCAGCTGTCTGGTTTGAAAACCGAACCGGTGGTTTGCAGAGCTAGAGAGGGGCAGAGAGGAACTCGCCCTGCATTATGTGGGGTCCGCCCTGGGGCTGGGCAGGTGTCTGTGCTCAGTGCTGCCTGAGGAAGGCTGGGCAGGAGCAGGAACTGGGGAAACACAAGGTGTAAGGAACCTCTGCTGCCCCCTGGTCTGTGACAGTGACCAAACCGAGCCAGTCACCTGCAGTGCTGCTGAGGGACACCACGTCAGTGGGGTCGCTGCTATTTACATACTCACACCGATTATTTACTTGTCAATAAAACCTCGTCCAGCCTCCAAGGGGAAAAGATTTTTTTTTAATAGCCGCAAATTTTTTTTAATGCTTTCTTAAAAAATAAAAAAGACAAATAAATAATTAAAAAAAAAAAAAAAAAAAGAGGAGAAAAGAAAAAAAACAAGTTGCCAAAAAGAAAAAAGAGAACTACCAAACCCAGGAAGATGAGCCGTTGCCTGTGAAGTGATCCACCGCTGTAGTGGCTGGAGCTGCAGCCAGCCAGGTGCTCTGCAAGGCCAGCTGCCTGCCCATCCATCTGTCACACTGCACATGTGAGATAGTGTGTCTGGGCTGCTTCATCTGCTCTGCCTTTGTCCTGCCTGGACTGCGCTGTCTGCATCTGGGTGTGCTGCTGTTGTGCCCAGCTGAGCCACCCAGCACCTCTCCTTGTAGGGACTGCGAGGCTGTAACAGAGCTGCTGGAGGCAGGTGCCCACCTGCAGGCTGTAGGAAGTTGTCCTCGCTGTCTGCTTTGGGAGTATTGTCTGCTCAGGCAGGCATTCATTTCTCTATGGGGTGCATCCTGTCCTCGGCAGGGCATTGCTGCAGGCTGAGCTTTGCTGTGTGATGTGGTTCCTGTGCTGCAGTGGAGAACTACAGGTGGAACGGGGCAGTGGATGAAGCTGGATGGGTTCTTCATCTCTGTTGGGCAGCAGGGTGCCCTGTGCCCTGGGCTCTATTTGGCCTGGCTTTTGATTGTTTGGCACACCTTGGCATTTTCAGAATGTGTTGTTGGAGGACAGGGAAGCTTTTGAGCATTTCCCAGCTTTAGCTGCTCAGTAGTTATATTTTTCTCTGAAAGGTTTGGAGAATCTGTGTTGCCCTGCTGGGATGGGTCCTGCTCTGCCCTGCTGGTGGGCTGATGGGGAGCAAGGTGAGAGCGTGGTCCCTGCTGCAGCTCGGGGCTGGGCTGCTCTGCTGGCTTTGATTTAATGAAATCCTCCCCGTGACCAGATGGGAGGAGGATGCTGTGCAGGCTGTGTGCATGCTCCTGCTGCCCCTTCCCACAGCACTGCCTCCCAGCTGCCAGCACACAGCTGGGGCAGGACTCAGCTCACATCGCTGTGTCCATCTACTCCTGTGGTTTTGGTTGACCTGAGCTGATGCTGTAGGACTGCGTAGCGTTGCCTAGCAGCAGCAGCGTGGGAGATGGTGTATAAGCACATCCTTTCTTTTTTTTTTTTTCTTTCTTCTTTTAAATTGTATTGAGGCTGTTGAATCGAAAAACCCCTTTGAAAGGAAATTAGTGTGAGATTTCTTCCTTGAGGCTCCCACTGCTGTGGCAGGAGCTGAGCGTTGGGCTCCATCTCTGGGCACCACACGCAGCCCGGCAGCTCTGTGGCAGGCATGGGATGGGCAGCCCTGCTGCAATGACTGAACGCTGTGCTCCTCTGCGTGTGTTTCAACCTACTGTAAAGAAACGGGCAGTAGCTGGTGCAGGATTGCTGGGTCCTGCCTGTCATGTGTACATTGCCCTGCTCTACTGTGTGTGCGTGTGTGTGTGTACGTGAGAAAGAAGCACTCGCGCTCGTTGCATTTCATGTTAGTTTGTGTTTTGGTGTAACTTTGTACACCTGAATTCACCGGGTAGGAGGGAGATGGTAACACTGCTGGGAGAAGGGCTTCCACCTTGCTTGGAGGTGAGGGCTTGTTGTGGCACTGACCTGGTTTTACAGCACTGGTGAGCAGACGAGAGATGGAAGGTTATGTGGCATTGTGTTGCACCTTGTGCTTGCTGGTCCTTTGGTTTGGGTTCTGTGGCTCGTCCCCAGCCCTGGGGATGGTCACCTGCTGCCTGTCCTGCTGCACACGTGGGGTCTTGGGTGGCTTTTCAGCTCCACTCTGCAGCTGCCATCCACTGAAATTCTTATCACTTCCATCTCAGCAGTAGCTGCAGAGTCCTTAATTACCCATGAGCTTGGGGACGGCCACTGTCTCCTCAGCTGGGCTTTGCTGTGTTACTGGTGTGTGTTTGTGACTTAATAAGGCACAGGTGGACATTTGCTGGGGCTGGAGGAGATTTGCTGTCAGCGTGCGGTCATCCTTTGGCCAACACCCACTGGCCTGAGCTTTACCTGGCACTGCAGCAAAGGCCCTGTGAGTTTCCACAGCGGCAGTGGGAAGCAGCTCACGCAGGAAGGCTCCTCCCGGTCCTTTCTAACCGGCAACAGGCACGGAGGGGGCAGTGCAGAGCCAGGACTTGGGGCATTGCATATTGTGGCTCAAAGCTTGAAAGGAAGATCCTGTTGAGAGGGGCCAAGCTGATGAGTGCTGCTGGGTTTGCAGGAGTGGGGGTCCTGGAACAACGTTGGGTGTGATGCCTCCATCCCCAATCAGCAGGTCCTTGGTTTCCATAGGGAAGAGCACTGCTCTGCAGCACAGCGGTCACCTGCTCAGCATTGCAGGGCATTGCCTGCCCAGCTGCGTGCCATGGTGATGGGGAAGCACTGTGGATACTGTGTGCTGTGCTGTCAGCCCTGCCTGGGCTGCCGCACAAGAGGGGACGTTACCACTTTGTAGATTCCTGAGTTGTCCATCTGTTTCATTGTTGTATTATTTGGGTTCTCAGTTTTTTTTTTTTTTTTTTTTTTTTTTTTTTTTTTTTAACAAACCGCAACGTGCTCGACCTCGTCAACTATTTTATGGTACTAATGCAACACTAATAAAACTGGACATGAAAGCACATATCCGCCCCTGGAGTCATCTGTCAGCAGGGGCTGTTCGGCACAGGCGGGGCGGTCATCTCCTGCAGGAAGAGCCGCTGGGTGCCACAGCCAGCACAGGAGGGGTTCGGGGCTGGGAGGCGCTGAGCCGCCTGGTGGCTGCGGGCTGGGAGTGGGGGAAACCGGGCTTGGCAAGAGTGCAGGGGAGAGCGGAGCTGGGAGGAGGACCGCTCACGTGCCTTCCAGGAACCCGGCCGTGAGCAGGCTGGGGATGCCCGGCTCCCACGGGGCCTCAACTACGGGAACCAGAGCTGCGCTGACAGCCCAGCACGGCTTTTTCCTGCGCTCTCTATCCAGCGGTCCCCGATCCTTCTTCACGCTGCCTTCTGCAGCGCCCGCTCCTCGTCCATAGGGGCGAGGCTCAGCCCCGTGCCGCGTAACCCCGGGGCCGGAGCCGCGCTCTCACGTCTGAGCGGCGTTGAGACGGGGCACCGCGCAATCCGCCGAGGTTCTGCCGCTTAAAAACCCAATTCGGCACCCGGGAAGATCAGCCCACAGCACGCGAGCGGCTGCGGTGCGGTTTGTAGATGTTCATCCCGGCCGATCTAGCCTCGTCCTCCCGCAAGCTCTGAGCGTCGCCCCGCGCACAGACACGCAGAGCTGGCCGTGAAGCGCGGCGCTCCGCCCGTCCCCGCTCGGCTCCCCCAGGCCGGGCGCGGCGCTCTCCGCCCCACGCAGCGCTCCGGGACGGCCGCCTCCTTCCGTCCGTCCGTCCCTCCCTCCCCCTTCACTCCCTCCTTCCCTCCCTCCCGCCGCTCCCGTCCCGCCGCCGCCCCGCCTTCCGCCCGCCGCCCTCCCGCCTTCCTTTAGCGGCCGGGCGGCAGCCGGCGCGGCCCCTTTAATTCCCCCGCTCCCCTCCCCCGCCCGGCCGTTTCAGCCTCCATTTTCCAGCGGATCCGGCACCTGGAGGAGGAGGAGGAGAAGGAGGAGGCGGCGGGAGCGGCCCGCGCCCCGCACCCGGCCCCGTCCCGGGCATGGCCGCCAACATGTACCGGGTGGGAGGTAGGCGGGCAGGCAGGCAGGCGCTCCCACGGCCCGGCCGCGTGCGGGCGGCGTTGCGGGGCCGGCGGGGCGAGGCGAGGCCCGGGGCGGGGCGGCGGGGTTAGGCCGCGAGCGGGGGCGGTGCGGGGGGGGGACGACGGCGCGGGAGGCTGGGACCGGAGGGGGGGCGGCGGGGATGGGGGAAGGGGGGGGAAATCGGGCGTGAGGACGGCGGCGGGGTGAAGCGGGGTGAAGGGGCGGCGCGGGGAGGCCGCGGGGCCGCGGGGGGCGGCCCTGGGTGGAGCGGGCGGAGGTGGGGGCCCGGCTGGGAAGGGCCGCGCGGGGACGGGGCCGTGAGGGTCTGCCGGGCCGCAGGTCGGGCTGCTCGCGGCCCCTCCCGTGCTGCCGTCCCGGCCCGGCGCCCCTGGGCCGCTCGTCCTTTGTTTTAACTCACGGGGAGAGAAAGGAGAGGCGGCGGGGTCCGGCGTGCGATGTGACTCGGTGCGAACGGCGAGGTGGTCTGGCGTGCGTTCGAGCTCAGCCATTTTCCTGTGCCAGAACTGTTGCGCGGAACTTCCTTCTCCCCGCGCCTCCTCGCCCGGGCACCCGT